TTATCTGACGGACAGCACGGGGATTGCTGCGGGTCTTGTTCACAAGTAAAATAATAAAATTTGAAACAAAAAACCTGGCTAGTAATGGACAAGAATACAAGTGTTGAAATAAAAAACTCCCAGACGGCCGGCGCTGCAAAGGGATGTCGATTTCATTCTGATGCGAGCACGTAGTATGGGGCTTCTACCTTCGTCAGACACCTGTCCACCTACATGAGTATGGCGAGATCATGCATTTTGAAGTGTAATCAAACGTCATAACCACTTATTGCCCGAATCGTCCACCCATAGATCGCTGGTGCAGTCTCCATCCCTAGATACCAGTGATTACTTTCGGGTTTCTGCCTCCCAATCGACTCTAGCGTGTTTTCTCACCTATTCCCACTCTTCAAACCATCACAAAATTCACTGCTACCTCTTCCCTCACTTGAAACTTTTCTGTTCGCACCCAGTTATGACACAACTCAAGACCTCCTCAGCAGAAGAGCTTTATTAAGGCGTCCGTGAACAGTCGTTTCTACATGTTGTCTGGACATTCCATGCTGGCACATCTATAGGAAATCTAGCCGAAACCGAGTGTTAACGTGCAGAAGAAGCACATAAGGTTGCCGCTGCTATTTGAATCATGACATTGCGCGACTTGCAAAATTATTGCGATTATTACTCTTACTGACAAATACTAGTCACAAAACCGTTGATCGCTACCCCCCAGTTTAAACAAAATACTTTCACTGAACTTCTCCGGTCCCGTCTTCCTGCGCTCTCCCGTCTTTCGGCTTTTCTTCCCCTCAGCATGTGTTGCCCAGGAACCAGGTATGGCGAGAATGATTTCCCACCCATTTAGAACACCACACCATTCTCTGCCCAGAAACAAATCAACAGGTGCGGAGGCAATATTTCGTCCCAGAACTTCAGTGGGCTTACTACCTCCATCCAAATATGAAACCGTATACTCAGAAGCCACTGTGTGACATGGTACAATTACCAGTGACTGCACCTTTGACAAATACTTTAGATGGTGAAACCGCCATCTTTATGCGTGAATGGCAATTGAAGCTTCTTCACACACCGTGAACCATTCTTGTTTGCTCATGGTCTAAAAGTTGCATAGACATTCTCTTATACTGATTTGCCCTCTTCCAAGCACTAGCACAAATGGAGCTTGCTGTGATATCCACATGGTCTACTGCTTGGAGACTTCAGTTCAATATAAGCAATTGCTGTTGGATATGCTTTGGTTCTCCGTCGGTAGACACATGCCCATATCTTCAGTCTATAAAACTAGCCGTCCATTAGCGTCCGCGATCTCGGGGTAAAATACTCAGACGACCTCACACTTTTTGAACCGGTCGCATCACGAACCGTCAAGTCTGCGATCTTAGTAGGTTGCACAATCCGTAACTTTCGCTCCAAAGGCGCCAAGTTACTACTTCATAAAGTATGCCTACGGTCTCTATTAGGATACCGTCCATTTATATTGGGTTGGATACGCGGTAAAGACGAACTAAAAATGGAGGGTGTTCAAGGTTACTTTACGCACGCATTAGTAGGATACGATTGCATACAGGACTACAATTCCAGATGCACGACCCCAAATCAAGGACCACTGTGGGTGAGGCGGCTGAAAATGAAGATAACACCCCTCTTCAATGCGCCACATAGATTCACCCTTATAGCCACCAGTGGGTTTAGGTTAGAACATAACATCTGTTACGGCCTACGCAACCAGGCCTGCGGTGTCACGCCGAAGCTTATTAAGTCCTCCCTTCGTGCCAATTTCTCCGCCCTTTAGTTCTCTCGCATATGCAACAAACTTCCTACTGAAATCAAGGCCTCCACGTCTGCCCTTTGGCGTAGTCAGTAAATAATTGAATTCTTATCCTCTGGTAGCTTTGCCTGGCTAGTGAGTATACCGTCATTATCGTCTATGACAATAAACATATCAGGCCTTCTTGACGTCCAATGAGAGACCTGCCGCGTTCACAGCGACCTTCGGTGCGCACCGCTGCGCAGACTACCATAAATTCTCACTTTATACCAACAGCGAATACCGCCGTACTTGACATAATAAACGCAGGCAAAAGTCCTCAACTGCGTATTAACACGAAAGCCGTGTTCTTAAGTGTTTAGTAGGGAAACCGTGTGTAGCCTATGTTGTAAAAAACGTTAAGCCGGGAAAAACGCACTTATGAAATGAACTCCTTATCGGAATCCTCGCCTTTTCCCCCTACGTGGTGTCCCGTTTTTTCTCGATGCAGAAATACGCTTCGATTCGGTTGAAAATCGATTATCGGAGCGGTGGGTGTTGAATAAAATCACACTCACCTGGTCAAAGTGTTACTGCATTCACAACAGCTAACTACAACAAACGGAAACAGAATATCCGTCGGATTAAAACTCCGTAATTATCAAAATATAGAATTTATTGGTCGTGGATATGGCCGGAAAAGTCTAGCACTCACCCAAAACAAGGTTGTCACGACCCATGAAAATAGTGGATAGGGTGTTCTGTAAGGCCACTTGATACGTTCGGATATAGCCACTGGTTTGGAAGCTGGAGCTGAAGAATGTATATGTTTAGCTGTCAGTTGTAATATACAGCAAGATCATGGATCTCTGAAGTGAACCGATGCGAGAGTATTCGAAATACATATTTCTGTGGACAATAAAGTCCAATAAATAGACAATATGCCTGTGTTCCCTAGTGAACTTTTCATCATTATTGTTAAGCGAAGTACGCGAGTTGTAACAATGGCTCCAAGCCTTATTTTTCTTCGAGCAAAGACCAAATCAGAACCCATTTTTTATTGATGAGAGGGCAGTACTTCTACTTGTCAATGCTGTCAATCTGTAGTTATTTATTTTGCTGGGGTGTTTCATTTCATAAATATGCGGCACTTACATCCCTCAGCGACAGAATAATAATACATATTTCACATAGCGTAGGTTAAGTGAACACAAACCAGTTTGCAGGTTTGACCATTTTGGTAATGAGGAATGACTATTCGTCATGTACAGTGTTAAGCTATACATTAGATGCCGTTATTCATGGTATATAAGAGGTGTGTTGAGGCAGGCTCAATTAGAAATTGGGAGTTATTCCGTTGTTGTTTGAATCTTCCAATATTCTTGGAGGTGGGGTAGGCATCACAGTCATGACCTTGGGGTGTGCGCGTTCTTCACAAAGTTTTGATGTCAAGGTGCACACTGACAAATGCGATCGCTAGGATTCCATTTGAATACAGGACTGGTTAGGTAAACCTGAAAAGTGAATAACGGAAGCGAGCAGCAGGCGAAATTCGAAACAGGACCACAAAAATATGCAGGAGTAGATCAACCATGATACAATTGGGTGAGTTCTTTATACTGACCACAAAACTTACTTGAAGAAGTATCAAGAACCAGCTGTTTGGAGGTAAGCCTAGGTGGACGAAAGTCGACAGGATCTATCCAATTCGGAGGACTTCATCGTTCACTGCATCACAAGGGCGATTTCCGGTCCATTGTTGTTCCTACCGTTCGTGAATGAACCCCGCTGCTTACCTGCTCTCTGATTACCCTTTATGATGACTTCAAGTTATGAGGGGCAGTAACGTGGGGAACGGAACTGAATCCACTACAGGACGACCTCAGAACGCTTGGGGGGAGGGCAACAAATAAAGAGTTGGCATTTGACCTGGGAAATTGCCGGTCCATGCTTTTCCGCACTACGAATCCACAGTAAGTATCCAACCCTCCCTGTGGTTCAAATTTTTCTCACACCACGGCACAGAAAAATCTAGGTCTAATGCTAAGAGAGAAATTGAACGCCAGCTGCAACTACTCGGGAGATGCCTCCAAAGCGTATGCTGTGCTACACTGTGTACACTGACAAGCAGGTATCCTCATCCAGAGCTCTCTATGAGGTTCTGCAAGACCTACATACCATCCCACTTGGAGGTCCGCAATACCTTTGCTCCACCACACCTGAAAAGAGGTACGAATCCTTTGGAGAAAGCTTAGAGGTGGGCCGCAAAGGGTGTCATAGGGAAGCACCGAAAGCCATACGAGAATAAACAAAGGGACCTGGATCCATACTCTTTTGGGTACTGGAGGTTACGAGGTGATTTGAAAATGCCCTGAAACATGATGAATAACTCGAGTAACCTGAACACATGAATACCACTGAGTGGTCGCCATGGTGGTCCCCCGGAAATTTGACGAGAATTGCCCATTGAAGGCCAAAAACTCCTTGTCGCTTCGAGACTGCGGGTATTAGAATGCACTACCAACAGAGGTATTCCCTGCCCCATCTGTCAAACGTTTCAAGAAATGGCTAGGCAGTTACGCATCGACCCACGGTTGACGATCACTCAGTTGGAACACGAATTTGACCGAAGAAATTAACTGCCGTCACACCATTCCAACCCTGTTACCGCTACACCAGTTTTTTCCTACGCTAATCATTGAGCCGTTTGAATCCCTACCACTCGCTATTGATTGGAGTCACCCACCTCAGTCCCACATATCTTTGCACCCCCCTTATCTTACTTGGGTGCACGCAGATTACTCTACCATTTCACTTTTCTTTACTCACACACATTTGTCTTTCTAGGTTATCCCTTCACTATCCATAACTCTCTCTAGCGACCAATTCGAACAATTGTCTGGCAGCTTGACATCTGAAGACCCAGACTGCATCGTAGTTCCAGGTGAACTAATCAAAAATCAACCTCCTGTTCCTTATACAAGAGCTTAAGCTGTGCTAAATTTAGCAAACGACTGGCTGGACCTACTGCATTGGAGTCCATCGCAGACTTGGAATCGTTCTACAAGACCAAGAAGAGAGCATGAAGAGATCAAATGGTTTGCACAGCCTCACTAGACGGATATTGAAACTGTAGGTTCTAGACACGGAAGCCTCATCTGTTTCGCTAAAGACCATTTGAAGCATTTAATATTGGATGTTACAAGGAGGCAATTTTGGTTGTCAAGGTCTTTCTTGCGAAGTAGTTTTTAAGATGTCTATGGCTGGTTTGTTATCACTTGTTTCAGCAGCAGCGGCATTCAAGTCATTGTTTTTCTTTTCCTAGTAAGTATCATGTTTACTTGTATGGCGTAGCCATTCAACTGACTTTGAGGTACACCGCAACTGGATAGCCATTACTTGTTCCCTTCCTATTTCCAAATGGTACTATGACGTGAGTTTATTGAAGTAAGACTTACTGTTCTCTTTAGGAGACATCTAAATGGACGCTGGATTACCCCCCCTTCTTTGCTTTTTTTGAATGGGTATTGTCGTTTGCAGCCATTCGAGTTGACCCAGAAATTTGTAAAGTCACTTCCCATCCATATACATCGGACAGACTTATAATTTTCCATCGATTAAGTGTCATATTTTCTGAGATTCTACTTTTCGCAGCTACAATGAGGTACTTATTTTACATAGGTCTATCTTGTAGGCTACTACGTTCACTGAAATCATCTGGATGTGGATTTTTGAAGCAAAGTTACTACCCCTTATGGTTCCTCTTTGCCTTCAATTTTGGCCTACTTATTGTTGATCGTATCCTTTTGTATATTTAAAAGTAACGACTTCTGGTTCTGTGAATGACAGCTCTTACCTTATTTAGAAAATGTTTTATGTGTTTGAGAAGATAGCCGAAGTTGATAGTAATTACCTTTTAGTCCTTCCAAGTGCTTAGGCTATTTATTAAATTTCGTCTACGATTTCAAATTGCTACTCAGATAATTTGTAGTGAGTAGGAAGTAGTCAAAAGACCACAACGCAAAATGGTAAAGGTACATGCATTACAAGCCAAAATTAAGAGGTTGTTATACTACAGTCTTAAAAATCAAATTAGATGATGGATGATCTGGCCTACTGTTTTAAAGTCATTCGCCGGAGGCAGGCACACCTCTCCTACGTAGCGATTGGTCCTATACAATTTAATTCCTTATCGAATGCCTGATTACCAGGTTTTTTTTAACTACTTAAAATGTTGAAAACTGATGTTAGGAAGACTTTTGGTTTGAAGTTGACCATTATGCTTTGAGTACTTCCAGGTGCTATTTTCTTATGGATCCCATAGACATTCATTTCCAATACAATGGATTTTTGTTCGGCATATTGATGCTATCTATGGCATATATTATTGAAGTAACATATGTGTTGCAATCTAACTTTTTCAGGAAAATTACCTCGCCGCTTCTCTGTTGTTCACTACACTTTTGAATTTTAAGCACATCTTTGTATACGTAGCTCCAGCTTATTTCATTCATATTTTAATGAACTACTGTCTAGGTTAGTGTGTCTGTTTTTAATGGCAATTTGCATGTAGGAGAAGATGGGTTTTCAAGCATTGTGAATCGTTTTGTAAAGGTTGGCAGTGTTGTGTTATTGGTGATGACTTCATCGTTTGGATACTTCATTTTCACGGTTCGCAGTTGCATAAATTTAATGGGAATAACATTATAGGACGAAATGAAACAAGTTATAAGTCGTCTCTTCCCTTTTAATCGGGGTCTTTGTCACGCATATTGGGCTCCAAACTTCTGGTCGATATTCAATTTCGTGGACAAATTATTGAACTTCCTTGGTAAGGGTGACAGGCTAGTAAGAATTATTTATTCATTAAATGCAGTTTAATGATCAACATTATTTTGCATGTGCATGCAACTGGGGAACTTCAGTTTAATGTTTATTTACAATCACATAAGTTTTCAACATTAAAATGGTTTATATGAATAGGAGTTGGCCATTATTTAATCCATACGGTGATGCATTTCTCAGGCTTTATTTCTTTCTTAGTTCGTTATCTGATAACAAAATCGACTGAAAATGAACACCAAGATAATTTTGCTATTTTAAGTATCGCCAAGTAGTGTTTAATGGATTAATGTTACTGTATTAATGTGAATAACCCAATAGTAATACTTCTTAGGACCTACATTTATCTCCAGTCATTCTCATGCAGGTTTGCTTTACTCATCACTCTAAAATTTGCTGAAGTTTCCCCCATAAAAAAGTGTAAAAACTTGTGGTTTCTGGCTCTTTATGTATTTTTCCTTCCCAAATAACATGTGACATTTTCTGAAGGTTATAAAGCTGTGTTTAAGAAAGTCTGTGCCGGATACTATTGAAGTTGGTTATTGGTGAATAAAATGACCCAAAACGCGTTAACGCAGTCTTTCGTTATTTTATCGGTTAAGTAGCTTTTCTATGTCGATTACTATCAAATTCAAACATTTTGTCTCAATTCTGTTTGGGATGTTTTATTGTATGCATTTGTTCAATTCCTAATTTTGTCGTTTTACAGATGAACGTTTTCTTCATATGTGGCCTCAAAAAGTTTCATCCACGGCGAGGATGACTGGTGGTTTAGTGGAAAATGTGGAGTATGTTATTCTGCCCAATATAACACCATCATGTACAGCCGTGCTTAGTTTGCTGTTTATGCTGGTATGATTTTCATGGATATTACTTTCTTTAAATATTGGGCGTTATCTAGTGTACTTATCGATGAGTGATTACTTTAGCTATTAAATAAAGTAGAATAGTTTTGATCAATACGTAATGTAGAATAACAACAACCACTGAAATAACCAGTTAATTCCCTCTCCTGCAGAAATAATTGGTCATTTCGTTGATTGCCAGGGTGACCTTTAGCGATGCTCGACATTACTGCCTGAAGTCCACTTAGGCTTCAAGTTTTGTCTCATTTTAAGTCGCTTTCCCTGTATAACTTCTGTTATCTTCAATTGGTCTATTCTAAAATGAATACTCAATACTATCTCTAGATATCTGGTCATTCTTACTTTTAAGAAGTATAGGTTTCGAATAACGTTTAACTTAGAGATGCATCGTGATTAGATAGAAACAACCTTCAACCTTCAATCATATCGCAAAATATTTGTAGCTGAGATGCTTTGAATTTTGACGTTAGTATAATAGCCATCCCTCTGCAGACCCAGAAGTTGTATTTCATGCATTATGGGCTGTTTTTATCCACCCAATCTAGAGTTCCACTAACAAAGTTTTTCATGCAGATGATGTGGATACATTTTAATCTCTAGTTGTGATGAATGCCTTTGTAGCGAAAAAGTAAACACTGCGTATTGCTGTTAAGCTACGAAACGTATTAGTTTTATGCTTATTCATCATTGCTTATGAATAGTTTTTTGTTATTGCAGCCCTGTTTATGTGTGTCAGTGAAGAAAAGTCGTTTCTTTAATGTCCCAAATAATGTTGTCTCACATGTCTTTCTGAAATCCGTGATTATAACAATTTGGTCTTGTTTCATGTTTGGCTGGCACGTTCACGAAAAAGCAGTCCTAATGTTTTTATTACCCTTGAAGTAAGTGTTTTTGTGATATGATCGAGTTTTATATTGTGCTAAATTACTACTCTTTGTTGTCGCATGTCTCAGATTTAGGAAGCTAATTGTTAGATGTTAAAACCAAACAAGTGTTATGTAAGCTAGATTATGCTACCGAACTCTACGCTACATCTCTTCCGGTTGGTCAGCAGAGTTGTGCAGTCCAGCCTAACGCATCGAGTGGGAATCAAAGTTTACTACAAAAATCTGTAAGATTCTTCGGGTTTATGTCAACAAATATTAATGAGTCTGTGAAAGTAGAAGTAACTAATTTGTCAAATATAGACTAAGCTAGCCGTACTGTTACAGTATGTTAGTTAGAGTAATATATAAGAAAGAGAAGCATATTCACACTTTAAACGAGACACAAACAGTTCATTAATTGCTTTTTGTGTGAGAAATATCCGACTAAATCATACATTTTCAGTGGTTAGATTGAGGATTTCCCTGCTCTATCAATTTTTAGGAATGAACTTAATTATGGAACCACTTTTAAGTGAATTGGTTGATAGTTGTAATTTCGATGAATTATCAACTGTTTCTCCATAGAGTATCACAGATGGCTGACAGCCAATGAGCATCTTAACCTAGTCATCATCATCAGTATCGACATAGAACCAGTCATTACTGTTTAACGGTCCAAGTTGCAATATCTTATATCAGCGCATCAAGTAACAAATCAAAAAGGTGAAAAATGGAGAAGGGAAAAAAAATCAGTCAGTAGTAGTATAAAATGGTAAGAGAGAAAGAAGTGAGAAAAAAATCAAATCCAGTATAGTATTTGAGATGAAGTGTGGATACATCTATGCCACCGACATCGATTCTGGGCCATATCACCTCGAGTCTGGAACCACTGGTTTCTCTTATCACGTGGACTCCAACCGGCTGGTCTTCATTTTCTTACATGGCTCAGACCATCAATCAAAGACTTCATGCAGTGATGTCATGTTTAGTCTGACCACCCTTAACCTTTTCTCAGCCTGAACCTATTTCAACTAACATTGCGCAACGAGACGGGCGGTGACTAGGCATGCGTAAGATATATCCCTCCTATCTCAGTTGACGAAGGTTTACGACTTCATCAACTCACTTTCCTCTACTCCCCAAAGCTCTAAACACCCGACTTCAGCATTACTGACGTGGTGATGCTACGAAGGCAACGGTGGTAGAATACCTGAGGCCTTCTCGTGTCCTCTACCTTTAATGGCCGTATTTCACAGCCATATAGTAGAACTGAGCGAACTTCAGCGCATTACGCTCGGCTTTTAATCAGCAATCAGATGCCACGGACGGTGTGAGTTGGCAAAAGACAGTCGGAAGTTTTGTATGCCTGCAAAGATTTCATTGACCACTAATCCTGCTTCACAGGTAAGTGAAGTGCTTAGTACACTCAACCATTTCACTTCCCATTGTTAGTCATGGTACCAGTCTTGGATCAACAATTTGCATTTGGGTGGGGAGAAACGCATCTCAAACATCATTAAATCTTAAAGTAAGTTGTCTGAATTGTATGTTGAAATGACCCAGTGAGCAATATCGGCTATAGTTGTTCCTTGAGATCTTATCATAATAGAATAACTTGTTCGATAGCGGCTGTACGAATACGAGGGTTTGAGTAGTGCAATGTACTTACCTGCACCTTATTCAGTTATAGAAATTGACATGACACTTATTGACTGAAAGAGTCGAGTGCCACCTTCAGGTCAAGAAATATAGCTACTGCTGGGCACTTGTAACTATTTGTGTCACAAGACCAGATGAACTCCAACGATCTGTTCGATTTACCGATGGCCAAGTTTGAAGCCTACCTGGGTTTCTCTTCTACAGCTTCAGTTACACATCAACTTACTATAAGATCTGTATTCTTGGACACTTCGTCGGACTGATTGCACTGTGGTTATCACAATTGAGTTTCTCGCTGTTCTTGAAGACTGGGACAACTTGTGGTTGAGAACAGTCAGGAGGGATCATGTCTGATTCCCATGCATCATAAGCTACTTCAGGTAATCAAATCAATAATTCCCAGTCACCATCCTTAGCTATATCAGGTAGTAGTAGGCCATCGAGTCCTATTGTTTTCCTCGTTTCAGGTTACTCACAGTCTTCTTGACCTCCGAAGGAGTTGGGAAGATCTGTCTATGCTTCATTCATGATCTGGTTGGGTATTGGTCAACTGAAAACCACCTGGGGGCCATTTGGATTATTCTCCGATGTGTTTCGCTCATCATCCCAATCCTCTTGCCTGAGTGAATTGCAGACTTATCCTTATCTATCGTTTTACCAACTATCGACTATTTTACCCCAGTTTCTCTGATAAATTTAAATAACTGTCTGCTGTTAACTATCACAGCTACCTTTTCCATCTGTCTACACCTCGTTGCTCACGGTCATTGGGTAGAATCTTTGTCAGTCTACATTTGATCTGCTTCTTCTTTTTGTGCTCTGAATAAGTGCAGGAATACGTTCATCTGCATCCATCGATTCAGATGAAGCTGCTGAAATCTATGTATCCAACCTTACTGCTGTCTTAACAAGAGCCTGGAGATGGCATCAGACTTCTTTAGGTTGATTGACGTGCTGTTCCGATAACTCCCTATCCAGTTACTGGTTTGAAGCGGTCTTAATATAGTCAACGAGCTTCACTGAGAAAGTTCTTGTTTCTGTAGTTTTTATACGTTCATTTAGGTGCAGAAAAATACCTACTCGGAGAATGTGTGGTCACTGTTCCAGAATGAGCTACAATCTTCCACTGACTCTCCAGCGATAACTGAAGGCAATATAGTCTATCTGTGTCGACCTCTGAGTTGAGACCGATAGGCTTTATGTTAGACCATGTCTCTCTTTGCATCTGAAGTTCGTACTGGCCAAAAATAGGCGATTGTGTGAGCACAGTTGTAGCAGCGGTCGCCGTTATCTGTTCGTTTCACAGGGACTCCAGAGGTCCCATCTAAGTGCCTTCTAACCTAACCTACTTTAACCTTTCAACTCGTGTATTGAAATCGTTGGTTAGAAATACCACATCTGAGCATTTGCTTTCATTAGGAAGCTACGGAATTTTCGGTAGGACTCACCTTTTAATTCATTCAAACTGCAGTCAGTGGGTGCATAAGCAGAGATTGCAAAGAGACGATTGGAGTTTGGTCATTCTTTCTTTTCCTAACTGTACTCTCCAGTCAAAAAGAAAGCTGTCGAGTGAGATCCTGTCGAGCAGTGCTCTTTCTGCTTTAGAACTTAACGTTATTTATACACCTGAAAAATGTGAGATATAGCCAAGCAATCTACAGGAACCCAAATGATAAATTTTGCAGGTTCATATTGGTCAGGTGGGGTTAAGTTGATAACCACACGTGGTTCCTGCGTGTGTCTCACAAATACCGAATGCATCTATGACCTGAGTTTCGGTTAGTGGAACTTGTTATCCGATTTGGCATAGGATACAGACGTTGAAAGCTTCGATATGTAGTTTAGAGCATAGTCTCAGGAGACTAGTGATGCTATTCTGTGAATTGGAATCGTTATCAAGCTCTATAGAGCCAGAAGAAATTAAAGATAACGTGAACTGAAAAACAGAGAAATGTGAAGAACAAATATAGGCCAAGAATGTACAAGATTGGTGGCGATCAGAAGGGAGTGAAGTCCGGCCATACGTGATGGCGATTGATACTTCCCGGTTGCCTACAGTTTTGATGGCAACCGGAAAGGAAATTAAATTAGTTCTGTGTGACTGGGGAGCTTAAAGAATGTGTACTTGATACTGACTATACACGGTCTTATGAGATTTGTGAGGTTTATGTTTGATTGTATTGATTCCGGTATATAAAGGCTCATAGCTGCGGCACCGAAATACCGTAGTCCTCGGAGGGGTGTACTATTTTTAGGACACCTTTTCTAAATCCTCCCTCGATAAGGGAAAATAGGACCTATGTGGACTGCTGGACATCCGCTGCGAATACCTGCTGCCGCACTCCGCCTAGCCAGCATTACGGCTTCGCCCTCTAACCTCCACCATAGTTTAAGCTATCAGGACTATGATGCAACTGTTTTTTGTCTTACTACTAACCAACAGATCTTTCTGGTAGGATACCAGGGAACAATTGTTCCAGCTACCAGTTTATTATACCATTGTAATGTGCAAACCTGACAACTGCATCAAGGTAACAGTTATCGGTCGGTGGTACATTTTTTTTGCAAAACTCTGTGTAAACAGTCCTTACAGAAGAATTAGTTAAACGGTTAAAATGACGGCATTACCAATTGCTGTTAATTTCAACACTAACTTCAGTCTGTTTTGAAAAGTCAAATGGTAGAAGCGATCTTCAAATGAATGGTAGATAAAGGTGACTGGATCTCGATAGGTTCTAGTCATAATCAAGAGCAAAACATTACTCTTAGTGTGATTACTGGGGAACCCAAACAAAACCGAGTATCCATTCTCCTTGCAGTATTTTTTTTTCAGTGAAGTCAGTACACAGAAACAACTTTTTGCAGAAGCCAGTAACTTTAGATTTCAGTATATTATTCACGTTAACGACTGTTCGATGAAACAATGTTCGTGTAAAATAAACATGCGTTAAGTGGTGTGTACTATCTTACTGGATTTTCTCCAGAAAGTATAATCATTTGAACACCATATGACCTATCGCTTTCATATGTACATACATTCTTATATCTTATTTGTACCATCAACCCTTTATCAATACAGTGTTTCATTACTGTAGTGTTATGGCAATATGTGCAAAGCTATTAATAAAAAAAGAGCAGAGTAAGTAACCATAATCCTGATCATCAAAAACCACTGTAACTTATCCCTATGGGATTTTTGATCCCTGTTAATTGAATTTAGTAATTTTTCTCTCTCCTCACTGAAGTGCGGGGAGCTTCAACATAGAATGCTGCTTATCTTCAGGAGACATTTTATTGTTGTCACACTGCGCGCAGCTCCCATTACGACTTCATACTCATTGTCAGCTAATTACAGTGTGATGATGATGATGATGATTACTTTAAGTTTTGCAACTATCCTATAAACCTTTCTGACATAGTAGAATGTCAAGAAATAATCGTATTGCTCACTGGATAATTTCAATATACGAACCCGACCACTATGTCAAGACACCGGTTAGCTGTTGGCCATATATAGTAGTATTTATTACATAATAGTCGACAACCCATCAATGCATAACCACATCATTCAAAAGTAGTCTCATAATTAAGTGTATTTGTAAAAACTGGTCAACAGCAGGGAAATTCTCAATCTATTCACTAAGAAAAATGGTTTAGTTGATTATTTCTCATACAAAGAAGTCACCTAAACTCGAAATTGTTTTAACAGAGGTTGCCACACTATTGAAGCTTTTTAAGTTGATATATTTTAATATATGATGAGGAATCACATTGCGTACATCTGGCGTAAGTTCAGTGTCGAGGCAGAAAATACTTAGGCACATTTAATCTTTCCGTATACCTGTGGCTCATGGGTCTAGACTCTTGACTTTCTGTCAATGTGCTATAATTTTGAACTCCTCCTAAGTAGATTCGCACAACTCAAAAACTAGGTGTCAGTAATAGACAAAATTGCGCTCGGTTATCGATTTGTCAGAATGACCTACCAGTACAGAACATATTACGCTTACATTTTGTATCATTTGTAGTTTATTCACACTAACGTCTGGAGAACATCGATTTCTCACTTTTTATGTGAGTACCCTGGGGTACTATAGCCTTATTCCATTAATTCCTACACAAGCTGGTAAGTTAGATCATTTTGCTACGTTTGAAAATTTAGTTTTGGTCTGTTAACATTTACTATGATATGTTGATTTCGTATACTTACAAGTACGTTCTGTATTTCGTTCCGTGTTATCTCTGACAACAACTATCGACAGAAAGTGCAAGCTATTTTGTGAACAATAAAATCGACATATAAAGTTATTTCCAAACATGCAAGTCCCAGACGACGGTATCTTGTCAATCTCTTTACCTAACTACCAACTGTGTTTTTAACTTTATATATTATCCCATTGGTGGGTTTAAAAAAAAATGTTTTAAATAAACACGAGACTACATACTTCAGCATTTAGACATAAGATTACTAGAATGAAATGAATTGTAACACCTAACTGCTATTCTGTGGGTTACAATCCTAGTTTTCACTTCCCCCTGTGTGCTTTTTCTCAATTGAACAAATCAGCTTATTTGTTGCCAATACCAAGAGTCCAGAAATATTGCGCACAAAAAGTAAGTTGAAATTTATTCAAACTACACTCAGCAACCTCGTGCAGTAGACAGTGAGCTGCGCATATTATGTGAAGTTTAATGATACTACCCGGGTGCTCAAATCTCGGTTGGTGGAGCGGATCTCAAACTCCTAACCCATCAGTTGAAAGTCAGCTTCCTAAACCAATGAGCCATATAAAACGTAAAAGAAACATATGGAAGAGAATGGTATAGATTCACTCACTTTGGTGATTCATTTCAATTGCTTAGAACCTAATGACAGGTCTTCTTAGCGATATTTTTGAGTTGATAAGTTGGAAAAAATTGTTAGGAAAAACAAAAATTTGATTCAGTGAAGAAACTAAGGAATGAATTATGAAAAAATATATTTTCATATAATACCAGCGTGTGATCAAAGCGATATTTTTCTGAACGTGTCACAGCTTCATCAGCAAATTTCGGATCAAAGTTGGTGGATGGTATTTTGGGGCAATCGGAGCCTAAGTTCTACGATTTGATTAACTTTTGGAGGAAGAGGTTTCGATAGCCACTGTTATGCACTATTTGCTAATAGCAACAGGAAATATGACACTGATGTGGGTGTGAACTGTATTAATGTCTTAATGAGCCAAAAAGAACCCTTTTTTTTCTATTGTGTTGAGAGGATCATTATCTCAAGAGGTCTCCACAATTTCTATCCATGAGTCGCTTGAACACATTTGGGACGTTGAAGCGTCATAAATGGTGTTTTAATTGTCTTAACCTAATTACTGAGCCATCAGTTGTTATTCAACGGGTAACTGCGAAGTGGTGGGATGTAATCAGCGACACTAGTAACTGTTACATCATACAGGCAATTCTACCAAAAAGAAAGTTAACTACATATGTGTTCGGATTTTCGCATACGGTCAATTCAGGACGCGTTATCTAAGTTATTGGATGAACGATACCATACTCGATAAACTCGTTCACCTAACACAAAGAAGAAGACAATATTGAACTGAAGCTTGTGCTCATGATGTGTAAAATGAGAATGAAACCCCTACAGTTAAATCATCCAGCTAAAAGAACTCGGTGCCATAAAAAAACTGACGAAGAGAGTTTACTTCATTCGGAAAGTATGAATGTAGAGGTGCAACTCTTGTGTAAAAGGCCTTGGAGCAAGTCAGCAGAATGATAGTGGAAGAATAACCACTAAGCAAGTAACTTTCGTAAAGCCGGTAAAAATGAGTTATACACATGAGGCGGAAAAAAGTGCAGGGTAAATTTATAAAAATTATGCGTAAAACGTTATCGGGGATCAAACATCCCCAACAACATAAGGGGAACAAAGTGGTCCTTACTTAGCTTTTGTTCCGGTTTGAATTAGATAATTACGCCTTCTTAGACAACTGGTCAGGTTACCGCATTACTCCTGTGTCGTGTAGTTGACCAAGTTGATTTAGAAGGAGCAGGCACTCAATTGTAAGTGACATCATTTAATGGAAGTATGTCTCAAGACTCGAGATTGAATCACTAAAGGGGAATTTTAAAATAAATGTAAAGAGTGCTTGTACCATAGAAAACCTGTCAAGAATCCTGTCTGATAAACAAGTTCATCAGTGATCACACTAACATGATATGTCTTTGTTGAGGATTGAATGCAAACAAGTTAGCTTATTGATAGGAACAAATGTGCCAGAAGCACATTGAATGCTTGAATGGCGTATAGGGAACCCTAGTCAACCACATGCCTCATTATCAGGTTTTAGTTGGGTTCTCTTCGGCCCTGGAGACAAGGCCAACTGTTTTGAGGCGAGGGAAACGATGAATGCAAAGTTACTGAAGACGTACGATGTCGAGTTCCGTGATCACTAGACATGCAATGAAAGTCCAATGTAGACTGTAGACAAATAACCTTTAAGGACAGCCAAAAAACGTAGTGTTACAAAATAGTTTTGCCTTAGTGGAGCCAAATATCCTCCCCATCTGAAAACTAAGGGACCTGTAGATGTAAAATCATCTAAAACGCAGTTTCGATACCACAAAAGGGGTTTCCCCAACAGGTAACACAGTGTTAGTGGTGACATTCAGCTTAAATTTCTGGATACTGCTAAGGCCTGTGATTAAGTTGTAGCCGCTTCGCGGGATTTGGGTAGGATAATGGTATTCTGAATTTAGTTGGCACCCAATTCCAAAAGAGCTTCACATTAAGCGACAGAACATGTCATAAGTTGATAAGCCGACGTTATGAGTCTTTTGGAGAGTCGACTGCCGCGGATTCAACTCAGAGCGTGATACTACGAAAGTAAGACATCTAAAAGTGGCGTATATACCATCAGCAGCACGTATAATACACCAACCGAAAGAAACAGAGCTGCAATCGGCACAGATGGCGTAAGAGAATTAGAGTGCAACGTGCCATCCGTCACAACATTCGCGATAGATTAGAGGTTGGTGCGGCAGGTCTCAGTCAATGTACACATGATATATATGGTAAGCAAGCGCCTGGGTACTTGTCTTACCTTTGCGTTACGTGAATTACAACTGTCAACGCCACTGTTTGCATTCCTCGTTTCCTTGAACTTTACGCTAATGGGAAAACTTGCCAACGAAGTATGAAGCTTGTTAAACAATGAGGTTAGTGTGGCAGTGGTTAGTATGTCAAACCGTGATAACGAAGATTCAAAAGATTTGAGCTAGTTTAACGACTGCGATCCAAATATATGCCCGACGAAATTGACCAGGGCCAATCTCACATTCACGTGGAGCATACTGTCGTGTACCAGGAAATGGATTAGTCAGTTCTGAGAAGGCATATACCACTCAGTGGGATTTAATCACTGATATGTTGAATGAAAAAACCTACATATTTTACTGGTTTTCGATCTGCTTCTTGATTATTGCAAGTGTCTTGAGACTACTACTATAGTTGATAAGACTGGTTATTGCACTACGACGTAAAGATTGCATAAGATGTTTTCTACATATACTCAAGAGCCGTACCGAAGGCAGTGGTCGGTACAAAGTAACTTGGCTAGTAAAACAAGTGAAGAGGCTATTGTCAGCACGAGTGGTTACGAGTTTCGGTCCTGTACCACTAATGTTGGTAGTAGTATTGTTCGTAAGCTTTGCTTCCTGGAAAGAGTAAAACAATTAGGGCGCTTAGAGCTATAACTGACTAGTAGATACGAATGTGGCAAGATTAAATTGTACTGTTTCTGTATCCTACCAGAATACATATTTGGAAAGGCCATAATGCATTTCGTGAGGCGATGTTAGTTCGTTTCTGTGTTCTAATTGTCTTCGTATTTATGCATATAGCTTTGTACTACTTACTACTAAAAAGTAGTGTCTCATCAGTGTAATTGTATTTATATGATACCGTCGTTGATTGGACCGAATTGATTGGCATATGGGCTCCTGTGCGGATGCCTCGATATTTTCAGCGTTCTAGCCACCATCCATCATTGACATAAGTAGTGTTTCATGTTCTAAAGTGTTACTTCATCCGCAGCTTTGATTATTTTTGTTATAATCATATTTTGTTCATCCTTCACCATCCTAGGATATCGGTATCTTCCCCACTTTATGGTTGTTTTGTGCTCCATTTAGTTACTTCCCTGATGTTCTACTTTCCCTCAAGCATTTATTTATTCCATGCCTTTCACCTTGCCCTGTGAATCCCTGGGTTTTTAATATTTTCGACCGGTTTGTTTCGCATATAGCTTTGCTGTTTATATTGTTGATGCACTTCCTATCGAGTGTTTCGACGGCGATAAGCCCATAAACACCTCACCATTCGAGATTTGTAATTCACCAGTTATTATTGTATATTAATACAGTGCTGTACTTCAGACAAATCCCATGTTTTGGTTTCGAATTTCTTGCGAATAAATTCACATAGGTATATCCTAACTCCTTAAGCTAGTTCATTCCACCGTAAACTAATGATTGCGGTTTCAAATGACCGTGATTAGTGTATAGGTCACACCTACTTGTTTAGGTGCTAGTAGCATTGTTTCACTGAATATTATTTACAACTGTGAACAGTTTCCCGTAGATCGTCAAAATACTCTCAGCAACCACGTGGACATTTGTGCAGTAGACAGTGATTTAAACCGATTATGTGAGGGCTATTGATACTACTACCTAGCCGCCAAAACCTTGGCAGATAGAGCTGAGTCCGAACCCGTGGCACGTTGGTTGAAAGTCATCTTTATACATAAACCAATGAGCCACAGCTCTACTATCATGAACTGTGGATTAATACTCACATAAGCCAAAATATTCAACCGTATTTTCATACTTTCTATAATCACAAATAAAATGAAAACTAAGCTTTCTTATATGTGATAAATATATTGGCTTTAGACTATCTTCTAAGTGTATTGTCTTCTCTTTTTTGTAGAGCTTCCCGCTGTCATATCCACTTACCTAGCACACACATGTATTCACTGGCTTATTTTATTTCGTGTGCTACCAGCTAATCATCATCATAACACTGGTAATAATGATAAAAATAAACAACAAAGGCAAATCAAACAATCAGTGTTAGAGCGCACTGTTCAGTTTATTGGCAGTTTACATCTATGGGGTCTTGTGCTACTTTTTATATTCACAAAGATCATTGTACCGACAACATCTTTAGGACAACGTTTACCCTACCTACCATTGATGCTTACTTCAGTGTATACAGCAGTTGGATTATTTTGTTCCTTTCTGATTTTTATGTGGCCAACAACAAAAAAATGTATACCCGATGTAATAAAATCATCAAACAACACAGAGAAGGCTAAGAAGAAAAAACTACAATGATACAAATAACTCTGGTAGGAGGTTGAAGGTCATTTTGATACCCTTTTCTGTTATCTATGCATCATCTTTCTAGCTTTTCTTTTTGGATGAGTGGCTTTTTAAAGTATTTTTTTTATTGGAATATAGTTTTGATATATTTGGTTTGGAAACACTTGAGGATTTTGTTTCATCCAGCTATAGTCAGTCAAGATCAGCTATACGTACTAGTCGGTAACCAGTCCCACCCGTTAGACAGTACTGTTCGGTGAAATATGTTCAATGAATCAAGTAACATGACATGGTATTGCACCAAATAAGGTGTAAGAATGGTGTTATTGCTTGTATTACACCATCGTTGATTGGACTGAATTGATCGGTCTCTATTGGCATATGGGCTCATGCGCGGATTGTTCGATATTGCCTGTGTTTTTAATTAAATAGCAATGATGGATAGTGGCTAGCAGTAGAATCCATGATGCGCATTTCGTCCTATTTGGGACTCGTCAGCTATCCATCACTACTATATGATTAAAAACATAGGTAATATCGAGGCATCCACGCAGAAGGCCATCTGCCAATAGAGATCGACCAACTTAGTCCAGTCAACGACGGTATGATATAAGCGATAACACCAAAACTATACCCGTCTCACAAGAAGTGCCTATCGTTGTTTGATGGTCTAGTGGGTAACGCTCTGGAGTTTGAAGCGATCCATCCCAAGTCCGAATCCCGGTGGGACAAACATCACTCACTGGGAGGCAGGTAAATCCAGTCGATGAATCCCAAATAGGACGAAATGCGCATCCTGGACTCTACTGCTAACCACTATCCATTATTACTATAAGGTGTAAGATATTTGAAATCAGTAGATTAAGTGCTCGCTATACGTTTTTTGTACTTCGGTACTCATCATTGCAGAGTATCTGCGAACCTTAAGGATAGTCATAGCTTCCTCAGAATTAAAACCTGGACTGTTCATCGAAGAGGCAATATATTCATCATAAGTTCTAATAAATCAGTAAGGATGCTTTTGATTATGGCCATTGGAAGGTGTGGTTTTGCATTAAAGCAACCTGAGTTTCTTCATTCTCATGGATTCCCTCTAAGTATGATTGATAATTGCTTTCAAAGGTCCTCAGTGAGGGTAGGAAACATGAGCACTACCCAGTACTTCTCCGCAGTACGCACCCAGGTTTTTAATGGTTCCCTGACTAATGTCAGTCCGTGAGGAATTATTAAAAATCCCCATTCATCTCAAAAATGCATTACTGTGTAGTGCTCATTAGTGACATGCTTCCAGATGGATATCAAGAAGTTCTAATAAGAAGCCGTAACCTATGGGATCAACTAGTCAGAAGGGAAGCGGATGCCAACTTAAAACCTTAGGTGATGGTCGCGCTATATCGTGAATTGACAGAAGTTGGAAACTGTGAAAACCGACCAGTGGCTGAGTTGTTAACGCATTCGCTGTGAAACCTGAAGGTCCTGGGTTCGATCCCTGGGGAGCCGGGTCATGGGTGTGTACTACCGAGGAGTCCCATACTAGGACGGAGTAACTATCCAGTGTTCCCAGATTCTCAATGGTTCCCCAACTGATGTCAGTTCGTGATGAATACTGCCTGTAAATTAAAAAATCCCCATTCATCTCAAAAATACATAAATATATTTACAGCAACAAAAATTTGTACAAAGTAATAGTTATATTGTGTTATATGCCAGGGAGATATGTCGACTAAACGCTGTTCCAAAACATCTAAATAGAAATGAATAATTCAAGAAATTATATAATAGTAAAATTTGAGAACTGTGGTAGAATGCATACAGTGATACACACAATGATATAGCATTAAGTTGAACTTGAAATACCATCAACTAAGTACTGTCAGTCAAACAAATCTAATATGGATGAAGTATTATAACGGAAAAATAAACAGATAATTAGTATTGTATAAATCGATATAGCTGCAGTCTGATGAATCTTGTGGGGATTGGGAATATGTGATTTTATTCATTGTAAATTTGATGGGTCATTGACTATTTTGTAGTAAATAGTGATATCAGTTGCTAACAGACAGATGCTACCTTGAGGTGGTTGTCGGACTTCCTATCGTAACTACGCCGTGATTAATGCTGGCTGTAGTGATTGTTCTTTGAGGTCTTATTATGTCAAAAAGGTTTGTTGTCTAGCAACGAGAATGAAACCAGTTACTATCAGACTGTAAAATAGTTTACGATATGATGGGAGCCCGGGTGCGAATTCCTACACCTGTACGGGGTGTGATGGCAGTTAAGTGTTTCCTGAGGATAAGAAGCATTCTGTGTTGATACTATCTTTTCATTCTAGAGAGAAAGATGGAATTGAAAAAGCTGGTCTTAACAACAGCACATTACCTTCTGATCCCGATCGTATGGTTTTTGTTCAACAACCTAAAATGAAGTATTTCCAAAGAGGCCGTGTGACCGGCTTCAAGCAGACAAATTTCAAACCAAATCACGGAAGAGACATACATACTAATACTCAATGCATGCCAGCTGCATTTCTTGACCTAAATACATCGCCCTGCTGGGGTCTGTATACTCTAACACTCATGGTTTATGTTGAACCTGTACTGAAATACTAGATGAATTGTGCATAACAAGTGGTGTGAATCAAAAATGTTTAACCTCCATTTTTACATTGTTAAAGACGTGCTTATAAAGTTCTTCCTTATCTCGTCTGACTTTACACCCACTAGACTACTCAGTCAATGTAGGGCATGTAGACGACATAATCCTGATCACACGGAGACACATAAGACTCAGTCCTCTGAACACTTTGAGTACAGATTCGAGAATGTTTTGGAGCAGAGGCAAAGAAAAGCGGTTGCAACCAACTGGATAACCTTGAACGCCACCTGGATATCGACTAGTAGAACAGCAGCGAAGAGCAACGTTCACTTTCTGCTTTCACAGTCCTATTCAGGTATCGTTTACCAGTATTGTGTAGAAAGATTGACTGGAGGAAGTCAATTATGTTTTTGAGGTGGATGTATTCATCACACTGAACTTCCAGTTGGCAAAGACTTCGGGTATTTCCTGAGTAATAAAGTTAGTTGGTGCAAAGAAACTTCCTTTCCAAGTTATGGTTTCTATAAAAGGCTTATTTCCTCTGATTTATTCGATTCATTCGCTGGACAATGAAATGTGATAAATACCTGGTGCGTAAAATGAAACTGATAGAAATCGATCAGCACTGAGGACTAAACAACAAGAAGTTGGTTACGCTCCAGTGACCCATGAAGTTTAAAATAAAACTATGTACAGCCTCATCGTAGAATAAATGCATGAAAGTTGGCTTAAATTTCCTAATGGAATCCCACCCATAAACTGGGAAACTTACAATATGTGTACAACAGATTAATCCTGTCTGAATGTCTTTAATACACACACTTATTATAAGAGAAATGCGTTTTCTACGTTATGGAATTTCAGTTGTTAGTTTCCAGGTCATCTAGTCGGTTGTGGCTGCCATTCTTAATCTGAGTACGGTTTCTTACGTCCCAAATGTGATTTGCTGATTCAGGACTGGTTTACGTTCATAATTCGTTTGACAATGAAGTGGTTAGGTGTGTTTACCATCTTGCCTGTTTGGGATGTCGGGTCAGCTCTGCTAAGTCGGTAACCGATTTAATCTCAGCAAGGATACAAAACCCTTGAATGATCTTTGTCAAGTTTCAAGTGTCAATGTGAGTTACATAAAGTTTACACCACATGATCATAAGACGAAAGTATGGTTACGCAATGACTGTCAACCCAACCTTTGGGGATCTCGACTGAGCACAAAATTTAACCTATAAACAAGGAAGAACTCGAATGTCGAGTAGTTAACGCGTAACTATGGTACATGAGCACATAGTGTAAGTAGGAGTCTAGCATTTTCCGTTCAAAAAAGACCAAATTAAGGCTTTTTAGTTTCAGAAAGTCATTGATGAAAAAAAATTAGTACAACTTCACAATTCATTCCATCCAGGAGCTAATCGTTGCAGCAAACTTATTGAAATAAGTGTACTGAAACGAGTTGGTTACTTCACGCGTACTTAAGAAGGCCTTTATCATTAATAATAGTAATTTATTGGGTTACTAAGGCATGTTGCAGGGCGCTTGTAAGGAACAAAATAAGAAATAGGTAAACATTAATAGGAAATAGCTGTGAAATTGTGATTCTCGCTTTTAAACACTAGATAAGCAGTGAGTTAAATCGCTCTACTGATATATCAACGTTTAGCGTTCTCACTTACAGTCTTAAACGTTTGATTTCCATTATTTCGTGGGAAATAGCTACAATAAATTCAGTTAGTTACCTGTTTCATACTTATATCATCACGAGGATACTTTTATTTTATCACTTGTGTACTATGCTTCAAGTCTAAACACAAAGAATGTTAACGCTGGATAGAATTCACACTTACCGGTTTCCGTCTGATGGTTTTAAATTGGCCAACATATTATCCTTCTCTAACACTGTAAGTTGTTTATCATATGCATCCATTAAACTATAAATATAGAAGAAATGAAGAGTGCAACAGTAGTATGGTTTAAAACAGCACGTGGTTATGTACAGTTATAGTGAGGAAAATTAAAAAAAAAAACAGAAGCCCAGCAATTCACATCATAATGTTTTGGTAATGGGTCATCAGTTCAAGTTGCCACACTTCACAGTTGTATAGAAAGAACAGGTGGATAGAATAAGTGACATCAAGATGGACAAAGTTGTATGAGAGAATAAACAGTTCGAAGGTAACGGTTAGTGTCATCACCATCATTATCAACATAGGACCAGGCATTACTGCGTAACGGTTAGTGTAAATATTCAAGCTTTAGAAGATGCCAAGGAGTGAATAGATCTGCGCCGTTGTGACTGATTTTCAGCCATGTCACCAAGAATTCTCAACTACGGATTCGTTTGATCTCGAGGATCCCAGCCACGTAGTCTACATCTCCCTATGCATTTCAAATCAACAATCAGAGACTTCGTCAGCTGATGTCGCATCTTGATCTGGCCACCCTGATCCCTCTTTCAATCTAATCCAACTTCCCCGAGGATGGTATGTTAAAGTAGGCGATGGCTTGGCATGGGTAGCACTTGTCCAAGCCATCTTATTCGGCTAAAGTCCACAACCTCATCAATCGACTTGACTGTCTTACCTGATACTCTATTCCTGACCTCAACACCGCTCACACGATGATTTCACTAACGCAAATAATGCTACGTAGACACCTGTGATCAAAACCTTCATGTCTTCTACTTTTAACGACCGTGTTTCTCAGCCATATAACAGGACAGAACGGACTGCAGCACAGTGTGTCCGTCATTTGATAAGCAATAGGTGGAACTTCTGGCTCATTGGTTTAGAGAGGTGACTCAAGGGTTCGAACACCGTTCCACTTATTGAGGTTTGGGCGACCAGATAGTATCATGAACCATCGCACGCTAGATGTGGCTCATTGCCTACTGCACGAATGTGCACAAGTTAACTGAGTGAGTTTTGATTTTTTTTTTCCCTCGCTTAGTAATAGTTGTTCACCGCATCTCCAAGATATGATGTAATTCATAAAGTCAAGGCTGGTATCAAACTTCTAAAGGAGTTTAAGGCCTCAAACTACGGTTATTGAGCTGGAATCAGTGAATTCAAACCTTGACTGGAATCTCTATAGTTGAATTGTGACGGCATAGATTTATTCACTATCCATCAACCTAAAATTCCTGAATATCCTATTACAATGAAATCGCTGTTGCTGCCAATACAACCTTGTTTATCGTTTTCATTTCATATGATTTCTTTCGTCTAGTGCGCAAATTGAACCCAATTTTTACTGTTTCGAAATCTTGTCTGCCTGTCATCTAGCGCATCTTATTTACCATCAGTTTCTAATGTGTGTTTGTCATCAATGCAGAATATCATATTTAATACATACATACTTCTATTAGGAAGGAGTGGATTGTCCAACCACTGGATTGCATTTTCGAATCTTGCTCCACCTACTTTGAACTGTTTAGCCAGGTGGTACCGTAAACCCTGAGTTTATGAGAATAGATCTTGATAAGTCCACAGTCAATAATCTTTCAACGCAGTATTTATCCAATCATTTCAAATTTTAGGTTGATATTCACTATACAGTGACATCAGTTGGAGAAACATTGGAAACCTGAGAGAACGTGAGAACAGTCGCTCAATGACGGCAGTGAATGAAGGTCGCACTGTTTCGTGAAATGATGGAACTAAGAAATGTAGACCATTAGATGCCGACCCAGTGGCTCAATAGTAACGTCCTGGTCGCGGAACCAGAGGGTTCTGGGTCCGATCCCTCGCAGGGTCATGGGTGCCCGCTGCTGAGGAGTCGCATACTAGGATGAAACAGCTATCCAATACCCTCAGGTTTCCAACATTCCTGAAATCAATAAGTAAATCCCCACAAACCTCCAAAATGAAATAATCATTTTAAAATTTAGCTATATATTGTTATCCTGATAAATCGGAATCTTTAAAGAGAAATGTTTTCTGACGAAGTTTTATACACAAGCTTAATTACAGCATAGTTTCATTCACACCATATCAGAGTGAACTATTATTTGTGACTTGATAATGTTCTTGTCATCAGTTCATAATGTCATATTGTAACGGTTCGAATATATATCCGTCACTTTCCTGAGGAAGTTAAGCTTCGATCAATGCTTACTAAAATGCGGGAGTGCAGTAGCACAGAACCAGATAGATGAAACGAGTAAAAATAGAAAGATATCTGTATATAGGCACGAAAAAGAGGATAAGTAAGAAGAGAATGAATCCTTGTGACCACCATTGACTTTGCGGCATACGACTTGTGTCATGGCGCCTCTATATCAGTAAAGTAGGACTCAAGCGTAATGTTTCAAGTAGGAGAGAAACGTCAGTTGATGAGATTCTAAGCCTCCATTGACTGTGACTGAGACATATGTTACTCATGCCTAGTCACTGTCTAACCCGTTGTGCAATAACAGCCGGAATAAGTTCATGATGGATAAAGGTTAGAGGTGGTTAGACTGAAGCATTATTATTATTATCATTTGTTCCTTGGGTTCTTAGTGGAACATAAGGGCTTCAGTAGCACGTCTCCATTCCACTCTGTTCTCTGCAATCTTTTGAACCTGGCTCCACGACTGCCAGGAGCTTTCATTTCTTTCTCACACGATCTCCTCCATGTCACCCTCCCCTCGGACGCCCAGCTCGCCGTTTCCCATTTGCATTCCACTCGTGGGTCTGTCGCGTGATGTCCCCGAATGGGCTTCTCAGTGCATACCCAATCCACCTCCACTTCCTTCTGCATATTTGTTGAGTGATAGATTCTTGGTTGGTTCATTAGCAGGCCAGAGTTCCTTGTTGCTTATTCTTTCTGGCCATCTGATCTTCAGTAACGAGCCAGCGTAGGCAGTTGCTGATGAATGTCTGTAGTTTGTTGGAAATGCTTTTCGTAACACTCCAAGTCTCTCAACCAAATAGAAACAGACTTGTCTGACGTTGGTGTGACTTTGGTGACTTGGTGTTGAAAATCCGGATCTTGTTCACGCTTTGTGCTGAGTGCAGATCTCTACACTGGTTTCAGGTTAATGAACGCCTGTCTTGCTTTTCCGATCCTGGCTTTGACGTCCTTGTCTGTGCCGCCTGTAGTTGAAACGATGCTGCCTAGTTAGGTAGATGAAAGAGACAACTCCCTTTAAGTTTCTCCCGTTGATGGTGATTGCAGCTTGTTGTTGCTGTTGGTTGGGTATCTACATCATCTATATCTTCTCTACGTTCACTTGAAGTCCTGTCTTCGCTGCCTATTCTGTCAACTTGTTAGTTTTTGCCTGTACATCTTCAAGTTTGTACGACATTAGACACAAGTCATCGTTGGCGAAATCCAAGTCTTCTGGGTTCTTTTCCGCGGTCCAGGGTATCCCCCTCTTCTCGCTCCTCAGTGTTTGTTGCATGATCCAGTCGACTACAATCAGGAATATCATGGGTGATTCTAGACAGCCTTGTTTTACTCATGTCTTCACTTCAAAAGTGTCACTGAGCTTCCCATTATGAATCACTTGGCATGTGGCGTCTCCATATACTTGTTGAATGAGTTTGTTTAAGGTTTGCGGTATTCCGTAGTGTTGAAGCAACTGCCTGCCAAATTACCTCTCGGTCGACGCTGTCGAAGGCCTTCTCAAAGTCGATAAAGTTGAGGTAGAGGGTTGACCGCTATTCTATACTCTGTTCAGTGATGATATGTAGTGTAGCGTTGCAATTTGGTCCGCACATGATTTGTACTTCCTGAATCCAGCCATCCTGTTCTGGTCGTAGTTTTGAATCCAGTGCATGCTTTAGTCTCTCCAGGATGATGCGGCATAATATTTTGCTTGGGGTGGACGGGAGAGTGATTCTTGCAAAGACTTAGGCCGCCCTTCTTCGGGAAATTGACGAGGTAACTCTTCTTCCAATCAATCGGCAGGTAATTTCCCTTCCTTCCGGACCTTCTGCAGTAGTGATGTGAGCATGTCCGCTGTTGTCTGTGAGTCTGTTTTCAGTGCTTCTGGTGGGATCCCATCTGGTCCTGCTGCTTGCCCGCATTTTAGTAGCTTTATGGTGTTCAGGACTTTGACTTTGGTTGGAGGGCTTGTGTTCAGTGGTAGTTCCGTGACTGCAGATGGTATTTCTGGACGAAGTGTAGGTGGTGGTGGACGGTTCAGCTATTTGAAGTGGTCAGCCCATCGTTTCCTTTGTTTCTCTTCCTTGGTAATTAGATTCCCTTCATCATCTTTTATTGGTTTCATCTGTGTTGATCTCTTCCCTCCCAGATAGACAGTAACCTGGTTATTTGATACAATGTGGTCAGGTTTCTGTCTCTCCTACCAGCAGCCTGTTCTGCTTCACTTGCCAGTGTTTCGTAGAAGTGTCTTTTGTCTTTCCACGCACTCTTCTTCACTTCTTTGTCCAGTATAGTGTTTAACACGTTGTACTCAGTTCCTCTTCTCGTTGTTCATGCTTGCACTGGTTCATCTTCTGCTTCACAATCCTCCTCTCCCTACTCTATCAGCTTCCATGAGTCCGTCGAGATCCATTCCTCATCTTCTTTCTTCCTCCTTCCTAATACGGTTATGCAGGTTTCTTTCCACATCTCTTTCAAAGACTTCCAGTGTTCATCCACACAGATTTCTTCAGGGATGTTCCTCGATATCTCCAAATTTGTCTTGATGGCTGACGTGAAGATTTCCTTTGTAGTTTCGTCCTTCAGTCTCTGTTCAGGGTGTTGAACTTGAACTGCGTTCTGTGATCACCAACCTCTTCGAAGGTTTTTCAACTTGATTTTGAATGTAGGTTCCTTGCACTAGATATTGAGTGGTGTGAACCTACATCTGCTCCTCTTCTTGAGCTTGTGTCCAGTGAGCTGCGTCTCCACTTTCTCCAGATTGAGATGAAGTCGATCTGATTTTCAGTGTAGAGTGTGTCCTGGTGTCTGGTGGAATCAAATCCATGTCGCTTTGTGGATATCCTTGTGCTTGAACACACTGCCTCACCTCCAATCACCAAATCGTTGAATGCACAGAATTCTGCCAACCATTATCCGTTCTCATTCATTTCACCGAGCGCTTCTCGACCCATGGTTAGTTCTCTTCCTGTGTTGTCCGCTCCCGGTTCGGCATTTATGTCGCCCATTAGAACTTTGATGTCGCCAACTGAGGTCTTGTCCAGTGCTGATTGCAGTTGTCTGTAGAATTCCTCCTCCTTCTCGACCTTGAATGATCTATCAGAGTCAACCGGCATCATTGTAGCCGATCCGTAATGCCTTCATGGAAAGACACATAAACAGTGCATCCATTCAACAACAGCAGCACAGAAAACTGTAATGAAAACCAACAGAAATGATATTAAATGCCACAGTTTTGGTTACAGAGGCCTGTTCGACTTAGTGCAAAGCTACGATGATTTAAATTGTCAATGATCGCCCAGTAAAAAGTTGAGGGGATCGTAAATGACATAAGGTTATTGACAGGAAGAGGTAGTGAAGACAAAACGAGTAAAGGTGAAAAGAGCACAAGGCAATCAAGCGGCTTAATACGCCACTGGAAACATGTAGATGGTTGGTACTCCTCAGTTGCCCACACTGTGGAGACTGATGTATTCAGCTTCTTTCTTACATATTATTGACAGCGAAACAAAATTATTCAGTGAATAATGTTTTGAATGCAGTTTACTGTTCTTAGTAGTATTAAAACATACACCTTTGATATTGCTATCAGTAATAAACTGTGTTGGAAATGCTATTCAGTAAATAACTCTACTTCATTGTGTGGAATATGTAAGAAGTAAACTGACATGAACTTATACACTACTATGAATAATACCCAATTCCTAATGTTATGTTAGAAAATTGAATTAGTTTCACGTGATCATCGAAAATAGAGGATATCTGCTTGATACCGATCACATGCACTTTTTTTAAAAAGGTTTTGGCATGTGTAGAGTTGTATCCATACCTGTCGGCATGAGAGTACGTGGAGTTTTCATGATTTCAGACTCTTCTAAGCCCTTCTCCCGGAATAGCCAGCGCAAAACTAGTATGATAATGACGACCCAAGTGAGAACATTCTTACTGCCTGACATTCCTATTTAGCTAGTACAACAACTTAACTTTCCTATCCTCACTAAAACTCAATTTATCTACAGTATGACGGTAGCTGCTTTTTGCCTTTCGGGTATGGCAGGACTTCAAGGCACAGTCGTCCCAGTCACTATACGTCGTTACGATATTTGATTCTAAGCGATCAATCACAGTAGCAGCTATTGATCTAGTGATATCTTAATGATAACGTTCATTTTAGCTTTTTATATTTTTGATGATAGTTATCGAAAACAAGACAGTTTCAGTCAACAAGTGGTCTTAGCACACTGATTGATTTTTCTTAAAATCAGCTGTTAGAATGGGGCAATTCAGAAACCTTTTCGGATGATAACAGAAAGTGTATGTGTAACGACCATGAAAATATACAAAATACGGTCGGATGTACGAATGAATCAGATTGCCAACTGTGAGCAGTATCCACTCATACGAAATCTCAGAGTCCCGTAAAAGGTTATGTTGAAAGTCATGCCAATAAAATATACTGACGTGAAATAGAAGCAAGTTGGCTGACTACCGAACGACAAAAATAGTCGTTGATAAAAGTATTTACCTGGATGGAGTTGGATATGTTTCTAAAATTGATGTGATTTTCGGTCCAGAACACCCAGGAATCTGTAGTAAGTGCTTTGCGAAAACATCGCGTATAGTTGGGTCGGGAGACTTATTTGCCAGTTTAACAAATTCACACCAAGCCATCGCATTAACTATAGGTGACCTGTAATGCATATTATTTCCTTTATGGTTGATATACAAATCATTCTGTAAATAAGGATAATAAGAAAGAATACAATTAATGTCTACGAAATGAGATGAGAAAAAATGTAACCCTACTCTTTAAAACTCTCCTTCGTCAACTAACTTATTGGAAACTAGGTAAGATTGAACTGGGGTTTCGTTCTGAATTGAGAAATCCCTTGTTTATGGGTGAACATTAGGAATGAAAGTCTTGTACTAATCCCGTTTGTTAGTATCCCTTAAGCGTATTTAAGCAAGTTGAAAGCAATTAACCCTAAGGAAATAGAGTATGGCAAAATTATGCACTGAGTTTCAGTCTGTAAAATTCGGGACAGTACACTTCACAACACCAATACACGATGAAAGTGGCTAACCAGAACAAAGTGCAAGATGAAATGAGGACAATGTGTGCAGCAGTAAAACACTAATCGTTTACAGTAAACCTGAAAAGTAGACATTTTAGAAAACTTTAGTTCTGTTTGATGTGATTGTGTCATCCTAATTCACAGAAGGCAACACGACTGGAATCATTCTCTACTGTCTATTTGTTTCGCCTAGTTGCTTGACGATTGATAAACTAAACTAAAATTATTCACGGGAATGTAAGTCACAAAATCTATACGTAACATGAACTGATGCCTAACGAAAATAACAAATCGCGGTAGCACCATCATTGGTTATACATACCTGTGTCCAATGAGACAGTGCGTTATATTATAATTCCATTTTAATGCGTTTACTAGATGCATCACACAGTAAAACAGTATTAATAAGTGAATACCAGGTAGCCTTCAGTAGGAATAGTCTTAACCAGCATGCAAGATGCAATCAATGGATGTGTGAATCAAGGCTTTGATTCGAGTCTCATGAGCTACTTCTGAAATCTTCAGAAGAACAATTTACAGCTGATTGACACCCTATCAACAATACTTTGGTCCACAAGGATGTTCTGATGAGATTGTGATATACAAGAGGTCAAGAATGCTGTTGTTAATAATCATTCAAACTCTACTGTTGAATTTAGGTTTATATGGGAAGCCATTCAGGCTCTAATGTTGGAGAAGAAAGAAAAAACTGGGAAAAATAATCAGAGACCAAAACGACTACGAAGAAATAAGATGATCAGAAGGGGTTCGTGTACCTAAAAACTTGTTAAAGAATACGTTCATTTCAATAAATATACTTGGGACTAGTGAACCTTTTTGTTCAAGCAGTTAGTAAAGAAGTAATTATACTAAAACTACACCTGTCGCACAAGAAGTGGCTATCGTGGTTCGGTGGTGTAGTGGATAACGCTCTGGCGTTTGAAGCGATCGCTCCCGAGTCCGAATCCCGGTGGAAACATCACTCACTGGGAGGCAGGTGCATCCAACTGCCGAGTCACAAATAAGACGAAATGCGCATCCTGAATTTCACTGCTAGCCACTATCTATCATTACTATCTAATTAAAAACCGGCAATATCGAGGCATCCACACAGGAGTCCGTATCCAAATAGAGACAGATCAATTCGACCCAATCAACGACGGTATAACACAAACAATTATACTAAAACTTAGTAAAGTTTGCGACTTTTAACATAAGACCACAGTTACATATTGCAAACAGTTTTAGTGATTTTTGGAGATACAAGTCATGAAGAACACAAATATGAGAACCTTTCTGGATGAAATATACGAAATTGCCTCATCCAAATAGTGACAAAGTACAATGTGTGCCCGTTATGAGCGATACTCCGGGTTGTTCAAATTAGACAGAAGGATGATACACCTCACTCTAGACAGTAACACAGTTTGTGGTTGAAATTTGTGCTGAGACTCATTTCGTCTTCTGTGAATGGTTAAAGTTCAGTACAGAAGTGTAGTAAAAATGTGATGAAACTGAGAAACCTGAGGAAAAACAAGTGTGTAACCGAAATTAATACAAGAATCCAATATGCCAATACAGGATAACCAATCGAGTTCTCATATACAGAACAGAAAATTTTAAGCTCCAATAACTTATAACTATTTAAAAAAGACTGAATGAACGAAGAAATATATTACTTTTCAATAAGGTCTTCGGCTCTACACTTACACGCAGTTTTACAATTCAGTCAAAGTACCAATCAAGTGGTGGGGTTGGTGAACAATAATTATTGTCATGAAGGTGATAAGTTTTAGAAATTGAGATGCAAATAATCAATAGAGTAATTAGAATTGGTAATATGAAGCAGGTTATTCTTAGCTAAATTAAGGGATTTTTGACGAATGTTCAGTTATAAGCAATAAATAATTACGTGATAACAGGAAAATAAATGAATATTGATAGAAACAAGAGGGGTAAGAGGTGTACAAAGTACTACTAGAAGTTGCATCGTGTTGATGGCTAGGGTAATGAAAGTCGTCGGACAAACTTCTTTTGAATACAAAGGTTAAGTTTGTAAAGGTAGATTGGAATCGCCTTGCTATGTGAAGTAAGCGAGTACGTAATCCATGTGGTAAATTAATTGGGATCTGATGGGTGATTTTAAAAGACTTACTAGTATCGACTTGATGTCCCGTGTCAACTAGGTGTGTAAGTATGGAGCTTTTTATTGTTTTAATTTGTGCCTTGCTCAACCATGATGGGTGGTAATCAGAAATTCGATGATGGACCTGCCTCATTGTACGCTCAATGTAACTATTTCCGAAGGAGCAGTTGAATTGATAAATGCACGTAGAAGTGGCAGAATTAGGCAGTTTTTCTTTATTTCTTGCACCTAGAATCACGGGGTTGTAGAAGATGGAACATACTTTAACGGCTGGGAATGCCTTTCGCAAGGCTCTTTTTATGCTACAGCGGAGCTAGTTTCATCGGGTGTACAATGAGGCAAGTCAATCATAGAATTTCTGAGCAACACGCACCATAGTTGAACAAGGGACAAATTAGAACAATAAAGAGCTCCATACTTGCACGTCTAGTTGACACGTGACATCAAGTAGATAGACTACGCACTCGCCTACTTCACATAGCAGAAGCGACTGCAATCCCCTACCAAATAATAGAAAAAATGTTATTTTATGAAATCTAACAGACATTAGCACAAAACAGTAGAAAAATACTTGTCAATTTAATACGACATATTGATAGAGAAGATTGCTTACTGCAGTACGTGACTGAAGCTTTCGAGAAAGCGAAGCAAGTAGATCAACAGTATCCTCAGGACCTCTAGTTGTCATTACTTGGAAACCATCGATTACCTATAACATGATGTTCAGTGATTTGTTTAAAAAAAAAGAATCAGCGGCAATCAGAACTAACAATATTCATCTTTACAACAGTGAACATAGAAATATAAACTATTTAAGGAATTGGTAAATTAATCCTCTATTGTAACTCAATAATCTGATGGACAACGCCGTAGTGTCCGAAGTAATGAGTGAATAGAAGGCAAGTTAATCCATGAGGTTTCAAGCTTTCACCGAATGAGGTAGCTCGCACACGTGTTAAGTATGTCAAGTCACTGCCTACCTTGACATGCGATATCAGCCGAAGTGAGAATAAGATTTAGGGTAGCCAGGACAAGAAGTGGAACCAATTAGTGGAGTCACTGACAACCGGCTTGAGTTGTGTAGTGAGATGTGAACTATCTGGCTGGAGTCCTCGAGATAATATGAACGCCTGAAGACTATCAGTGATATGGCTCAAACTTGGTCAGCGTAGCAGAGATTGAGATTTGGAAGATTACAAAACAAAATACGTATAGCGAAGAGTCACTCTTTTCAGCGACATCATTCTCAAACTGTACAGACGCATTTAGATATTCTATTCATATTATTATTTGTCCTTTGAATTCCCAGTGGAACAGAAGGCTTCAGTAACACGTCTCCATCTCACCCTCTTCTCTATAGTCTTTCCAACCTGGCACAACGACTGTCAAGAAGCTTCCATTTCTTCTTCACACGATCTCCTACATGTAACCCTCACACAAACAACTCGTCGCTTCCCATTCGCGTTCCACTTGACGGCCTGGCATGTGATTTCCCACAATGGTCTTCTCAGTCCATGACCAATCCATCTCCACTTCCTTCTGCATATTTGTTGGGCGATGGCTTCCTGGTTGGTTCGTTGCCAGCCAGCCAGCCAGAGTTCCTTGTTGCTTATTCTTTCTGACCATCTCATCTTCAGTGTCAGTATCGAGCGTAAGTGGCAGCTGTTCATGATGTGTGTCTACAGTTTGTTGGAAATGCTTTTCGTGATGTGCCAAGTTTCTGAACCACATACAAACACTGAATTGACATTAGTTTTGAAGATCCGGATCTTGTTCTTTATGCTGACTCGAGTGCAGTGCAGTGGATCTCCACACTGCTTTCACGTTGATGAACGCCTGTCTAGCTTTTCCAATCCTGGCTTTGACATCCTCATCTGTGCCACCGCCTGTAGTTGAGATGATGCTGCCTAGGCAGGTAGGTGAAAGAGACAACTTCCTTAAGATTTCTCCCATTGATGGTGCTTGTTGTTGTTGGTTGGGTATCTTCATATTCTATTCACATAGTAACAGAAAAGGAGTGTTTCATGAAATATTGTGAACGAAGTTCACATATGATTATAAGTCAGGAGATCAGAAGAAAAAATGAATTACGTAATGTCCGAAATAGCAATGAGAAGACTTTGAGTTATGTGAATCTGTACAACCATCCGGGTGAGATATCCCCCGACTGTACGGACTTCTAAAAGTGCAGAAAAAAAGACACATCTTTACGACCTATTCTTGACATGGTAGGATCGCCTTATCATCGTATTGCCCAGTGGTTAGTCAAAATCTTGGAGCCCATAAGAAAGCAGGTCTCACTTCATACACTTCATGACTCTTTATTTTATCAATTTTATTGGTAATGTAAATTGCTCTGACAAAATTGTTCGCTTAAGATGTGGTCTCATTATTTACAAGCGTTCCATCGACTGAGACAGTATGTTGCATATTTGACTATATTGATTCCAATGGATTGAATGTTTGGATACCGACATATTATCTGATGGAGCTGCTGTTGAGATGCACCTTGAACACCCAGTTTTCCTCGAATAATGAAGTATACAGACAAAAAGATGGAGTAGCTATGGGTTCACCATTGGGGCACTAGCTTAGAGACCTCTTCATGTCAAAGCTAGGAAACAAACACCTTAGCAGAATGATCAACCACTTCGAACTGTATAAGTGATACGTAGATGACACCATCATCATCTCCAACAGTACGGATAATCTAGAAGATATCCTGTCTCAATTTAATAATTTCAATCAACTTCACATTAGAGAAGGAACTTAATTCTAAGATATCCTTCTTGAATATGCAGCTAAAAAGACGAGACAATGGATTACTTGAAAGGTCTATCCACAGAAAACACGCATGGAACGGACAACTTACGAATTTTCATAGTTAAGTGCCTCTATGCACCAAATGAAATCAAATCCGATCTACGTGCCATAGGATCTGCAGTCCTGATACTTTGGAAGATGAAATTAATTTTTCCAAAAAATGTTTTGATTGAGAATCAATGTTCTGAATGTTTCACTGCTAAAACTGAAACTGAAAGCAAATAATCATCCCACTTCTACGGCTCCTAAGAAGCCTATTTTCATGAGCTTACAGTTCAACGGAGACATATCAGCAGATATATTGAGAAAGACTTTCTATGCTGCCAATCTTAGATTCTTTCCCCACCCACCCAATGCGTATTTATCAATTCACTTGCTCCTGTGGAGTAAGGTATATTGGCTGCACTCAGCGTTCACTTTCGAAAAGCATTTCCGAACATGTACCAGCCTGGTTCCACATAGGAGAAAGGTAAACACTTCACAGGTATATTTTAGCACATTTGATAGATTATGACCACCCGTTAAATGCAGAAAACAACTTGAGTGTCATCTATAGAGTTTGTCCAAATCTCGTGAAACATGTACGCCTAAAACTTCTTTAAACTGCAGAAGCCAAGAAAATTAATGTTTTGAAGCCTGAACTTTGCGTTTAAAAGAAATTTGCCCAGTCACTCGAGTTGTAATGGGCCTAACCTTCAAAAATCTTTTCATTCAGATCTTCTCATACATTACATTCTGGCTTCTCTTTACGTTCACCGTGGTACACATAATTTAACTTAGTATCCAAATATCAATTCCATATTGATAAGTTTTCTTCTCATTATTATTTCAAACATTATGTAATTCCTTTTTTCTTCTGATCTCCTGACTTATAATCATATGTGAACTTCGTTCACAATATTTCATGAAACACTCCTTTTCTGTTACTATGTGATATGTCGATATGCAAGTGTACAGCTTGAGAGTGATATTGCTGAGAAGAATGACTTTTCGCTATACGTATTTGGAAGATTTTCACATTTATTTACTGTGTCTACTTTCATAAACGCTGATTTGTTCACCTGAGTGCTCGATTCAAGTTTCAATTATTTCAAAGGATAGAAGTAAATTCATTCAATCCTGAATCGAACAAAAAACATCTTGAATTTTACTAAAATCCAACATCTATAACGGTCTGCGTCTATGCAAAACCTTCTATGAACCTATCAGTTAACCTAACAGGGTTCAAAATAATTTGATTAGCTGGAATCCTCTTATAAAAGTACAAAAACGATGCCTCGGTAGTGACTCATAGGAGAACTACACTAAATGTTTCGTATACGATCGCTGGATAATATAGATTACAGAGACTATGATGGACCATTTGCTATTCTGAGATAACAGAAGAAACATCTACCTAATTCAATGGTGTATTAGCGTAGTCGAAGTGGTTGGAAACTAGGCTACGATTCTGGAGTACATACATCATTTCATTATCCATCAGAATAGGACTAGCAAAAAATATATTCAAACTCTAAAGCAGGTTACAGAAAAAGGTGAATGTTGGCAATGATGAAAACGGATAATAACTAGTCTAAGGTACTTCTGGTACGAAAATCAGAAAATGTGCTGATGGTTTGTTATTCATTGAGCTCTGATATTTTGTCTTAAACGTTTCAACACTAACTTCATAAAGAATCGAAGCATAATCGAATATAACACAAATGTTTAGAAAGTGTTTTTATTGACCTTCCAGGTTGTTCAATTGTAAGGTTGAGAAGAAATTTTTTATCACACCCTGAACCTGTTCGACCTTAAATCTCCTTCAGTCACATTATTGGAGTGAAATTGTGCTATTTGTTGTTGTCATACTGTGCATCGTTCTTGATTTATCCGGTCAATTTGCTTTTGGTTGATGGATGACTATTTCCTCGTTAAGTAGATTGTAGGTTGGGTCTATATTCGCATGTCTGTTGATTAACGTTTCATTTGAATGGCGTGCTTCTAGGATATCTCTTGGAGTTTTGGAACCTGCTCTTTGGGAGATTCCCACATTCTCATAGTTGAATTTGTGACCGTCTTAATGGACAAAAAGGACTGTCAAAAAGGCACAGGAATTACTAGACAAGAACAGTGTGTGGAAACAACTAGACCACAATCCGATTAAACAATTCGGCAATCAGATCCAAAGGAAATCGAGGAGTTTAGTAGGAACCGGCCAAATCACAGAAGAAAAACAATGGCGGATGCAGACAAACGGACCAATTCTACCCAGGTTCTACGGTCGACCTAAGATACATAAGATCGATATTCTACTACGACCAATAGTTTCACCATATAGAACACCATTCAACTTATCCAAAGAATTATACAAAAAACTGAACTATCTCGTGAATGGGAGTGAAAAATCAGTCAGTTCAGCAACTGAATTTGTGAACAAAATAAAAGACATAAGAATAGGCAGAGATGAAAAGATCACTTCAATCAACTCAAATTTGGCCAAGGAGATGATGGATATTCTTCTAAAGAACGATCAAACCCTTTTCTGACTATTCGAAGATCTTGGTTCCAAACCTAGTGAAATTGATTAAGCTGTCTCACGACCTATTTGCGATTCAATGGAAAGATTTGCAAACAAACACAAACCACACTTATAGGAACTCCAATATCAGTGTTGCTTACTGAAGCTGTGCTGCGGCGACTGAAATTACTGGTCATCCCTCTCATCAAGCCAAAAATTTGGATTTGTTACGTCGACGACACATTCGTAATTCTCAAAGGAGATGAAGTAGGAGGAATCCAACAACAGAATTCCATTTTTATATTTACTCATCAGCAGAACATATGCCGGGATTGCACAAACTCAAGTGTACAGGAAAAGTAAGCACACGCAGATCAAATATTGAATTACAACACCAATCATCCTACAGTCCATAAGAAATATTGTGTACAAACATTATTTTCAAGAGCCAATTCCAACACTGAAGCACTACGGTAAGTCAAAGAAAAACATCTGCAGAAATTGTTCAAAGTCAATGAATATCCACCTAACCTTATCAGAAAGTGTTCACCAGTAGTAAAGAAAACAGGGCAGCTGCCTCAAAATAGTAGACACGTTACACTACCCTACATCAAATATATCTCAAAAACAGTCAACCGATTGCTTCATCCTTTCGGAATCAGCGTAACACATAAACTGACGAAATCACTACACAGCATCTTGTGTAGACCAAAGGATCCATTGCCGAAAGAAGACAGGATAAATATAGTCTGCAAAATCGATTGTAAAAATTGTTCATGAAAGCGTTATATTGGTCAGTCTAGCCGTCGGAATGCTCAAAGAGTTCATGAACACCAACTAACAGTAAAGCGAAATGATTCAGCCTCATTGGTTTCAATGCATGCAGACAATCACTATCAAAAATTCGACTGTGAGAATGTGGAAATCTCCCAAAGAGCAGGTACCAAAACTCCAAGAGATATCCTAGAAGCACGCCATTCAAATGAAACGTTAATCAACAGACATGCGAATATAGACCCAACCTACAATCTACTTAACGAGGAAATAGTCATCCATCAACCAAAAGCAAATTGACCGGATAAATCAAGAACGATGCACAGTATGACAACAACAAATAGCACAATTTCACTCCAATAATGTGACTGAAGGAGATTTAAGGTCGAACAGGTTCAGGGTGTGATAAAAAATTTCTTCTCAACCTTACAATTGAACAACCTGGAAGGTCAATAAAAACACTTTCTAAACATTTGTGTTATATTCGATTATGCTTCGATTCTTTATGAAGTTAGTGTTGAAACGTTTAAGACAAAATATCAGAATTCAAAGAACACCAAACCACCATTATTCTGATGTTGAGCTACAAATGTTTTCCATCGTTTCAAAATCAACAAATGTAGTTGATTACTGAAGAAATACACTTTTACTTATCAGTATTGTTTTAATTAGGAATGATAGTCTAGATATCTTTGGAATACAATAGAAATAAGTGCTCTAACCTGGAACATCAATGTGAAACACTGAAATATTTCCATAGAGGTTACTTTGTCACGTTAATGGGTACCGTTTATTAGTTGTTGACGTACAACATCATTGAATTATCTCTATAAAGACTCTACCTGCTATGAAAGTCCGATTTGCTTTCGAGTTCCGATAAAAAACTAGGAAAAACTCTACGATGAACAAAACTGTTACACTTAATTGTATCAAAGCATATTTATTTATTCATTCGGTTAACAGAAAAAAAGATACTCGTACATCTTTACTGTGTCCTCATAAAGTGCACATAAATGTTTTTTATTAGAGGCAGTTAGCAGAAAAACCGGTAGGCGTATCACAGCTCAGTGGTAATATCGCTGACTGTAGCACTACATGACGCGTATTCGAATCTGACAAACGACATCAGTTCTCTTGCCTTGTTAACAACTACCAACAATCTCGAAACCTAGGTTCCAAGATCTCTTGTTAATCGATTTCAACAGACTAACACCTATTAAAGTATATCCCGATGGTTAATCTCTTAGCTTAGCCACATTACAAAGTGATCGAAAGAATTCAGTCAGCACTCAGGACTAGACCACATGAAGTTGGTTGCTTTCCAACGATCGATAAATGTACATTACACATAAAGAATTCAGTCTGTCGCATAAACAGAATTTAATTATGTGCCATAAATTTTTCTTTTTAACATTCAATATGCTACAACGTATTACTTAATAACTTACTTGTGTATTTGAAATCGCTTGTATCAAAGTATCATAAGACACCTTTTGATTATGCATCATTGAACATTCCTCAATTAAATAAATTGGATGTAATAAACCTGTACGTTTTAAACGATACTGTACGGAGAAAAAGAAATAAAAACTTACATTTAAGAAAGGGGGAATAAATTAAGCCTAATTTACTAAAACGATGATAAATTTATAAACGTAGATATTTGTGAATGAAAAGAAAGCGTGGTTCTTTGGTTTCAACATGCTCCTGAAGTTTCGCCATCTGTTGAGAATGAGTTACCAAGTAGTACAATAAATCAATTGAGAAGAACAATGCTAAATAGGATGATGGTCATTGTTAGGCTACACGTGGTTGTGTTGGGAAAATGGAATATTAATTTTGTGACCCATTTGTTTAGCTATAGATAAAGAGAATTGTCTTCCATCTGCACTTATCAAAACTGTCACACTCCATCCGTCTTTAAGCAATTTAAGTACACAAGTTCTCCCACCGTCAACTGCATGGCTCAACTACTCTTTATGTATGTGTGACCACACACACACACACACACACACATGCAAACTGGTAAACACAATCGGATATGACGTGGTCATTGATGCAGTGTTTAGGTTTGTGGTAAAGCATGCGTTTCGTTTTTTCCACAATGATAAGCTTACCTGCATCATAGTTTTTGTTAATGGCTGATGTTAGCCTGTGTCTCAAAATCATTCTATTCAACTCCATTATGTATGGTAGAGTGATACGGTCATTTTCCTCAGGCACCGTGTGCAGAGTTGGCTTTGGTGTTATCTGACTTCTACAACGGACTGTATACTTCAACGAATATCCGTTTTCCATAATTGTTTTGGTCAGTAATTTGATATCTTCATCCAACGTATCTGATGCACAGACACACCAGATGCAGTTAAACAGACATTTTATTAAACCTCACTTATATTGGATCGGACAAAAACTGTGAAAATTCAGGTATATTGTTCTGTCTATGTAGGCTTTGTGTAGACTTACCGTCTTACTGAACTATCTTCTATTCTACTCAAGAGCACATGTAAGGATTGCAGACGATTATCATTCTCTTTTTCACAATTCAGGCTGATATGAATTTGTACGGTGTGAAGTCTGTTTAGTAGACAAACTGTATCCTCATGCTTCCCACAAATCGCTATTATATCGTCGAGGTACCTAGTGTAAAGAGGAACTTTAACGAAGAGATCACCAGCTACATTTCCGATATATAAAATAAATATCAGTTAGTAATGGTTATAAGAGACTTCTTATAGTTACACCGTCGAAAGTGTCCACCTTCAAATGTGAAATGAACTTTGTCGGTACACAGGAATAATAGTTGCGTGAGAAAAGCTGGAGTAATAGGGAATGGAAGGTTTCTAGAAGACATACAGTCATAGAGAATTTTGATAGTCCTTGACAACTGCAGGTTAATGAATAAATAATTTACAGCAAACAGAGTACATAGTCTTGTTTTTGATATTCATGCTAATAAGACAGTCAACAAGCTGAAAAGTATCTTTCAATGAAAACTTACAGAAGTCATTAGGGACTGGATTTAACTTTTTCGCCAGTTTACGTATCCAGGAACAACGCACAGATAATATAGGCCGTCTATATCACTCTACCATACATAAGGGAGTTGAGACAGGCTAACATCAGCCACTAAGGAAAACATACTATGCAGGTAAGCTTATCATTGTGGAAAAAACAAAACGCATGCTTTACCACAAACCTAAACACTACATCAATGACTACGTCATATCCGATTGTGTTTACCAGTTTGCATGTGTGTGTGTGGTCACACATACATAAAGAGTAGTTGAGCCATGCAGTTGAGGGTGGGAGAATATGTGTACTTCAATTGCTTAAATACAGATGAAGTGTGACAGTTTTGGTAAGTACAGGTGGAAGACGATTCTACTGATCTATAGAAAAGGGAATATCTATTACCTTTACTGAATATTCCAACATGCATATAACTGTTAAAACAGTTACCAATCGAGTAATTAAGCTTAGGCTCTATGGTTGCAGATATCAAGGTACGAACACCAATAACATAAGAACATTGAATAAGCGTAGATGAAACACAAGATGGATAGAACGACAACATATTTGGATTAATCTCGAAGACTTTCAATACAAGCTTTAAAGATGCACTAAATATCAATAGTGGGGTGTTTAGTTTTCTGTAAAAACCTACACAAAAGTGTAACCTTAGAAGATCGAAAGCATTCTTCCTTTCTCTCTTTTAGTGCTTTATACTTCTTTTGACTGAATTTTCTTTTCTTCATCTTCCACTTCACTACCTTTTCACTTGATATACTGATATGAAGTGTGTGGCGACTCAGGTCGTTACGCAGTAATGCCTGGTTTTATGTTGTTTTGGATGGATGGATGATGGCATGCATTCGTTTCATCGATTTCGGTCCGATTGTTTAAATGTGGTCTTGCGTACACACAAGCTGTATTATCGTAACTTGTGATAAGATGTATCTCATAATTTCCTACGAGAAACTGGCAGGAACTTGCATTTGTGCCATTGAAACTCATTTAATAATTTGAAAGGTGATTTTTGTGAAACCAGGGCTGACTGAGTTCGACATAGTCATTTGACTTTAGTAGTTTAGCTAGAGATAAGGTAAGCACTCACTTGGTTTGCAAGTTTCTCGATTGAATATAGCTCATAAACATCAATCGCTTAGTCTAAACAATATTATGAAGTAAGACCAAGACACTTGGTACAAAAGCATTACCGTAAACTTCTAGTAAAACTAAGCACCTAACTCAATGGACCATAATTCCATTGGTAATGACAGATAGATAAACAAAATCGACGTAGAACCTCATACACACGTTGATCAGTTCAAGTCTGTATATTTCACAGTAATACACAAAGAACAAGTAGATAGAAGTAGACAAATTTGTGTGGGAGAAAACTCAATCTGAAGATAATGGTTAGTGCGAATATTGAAGCTTTAGAGGACGTTAAAAAGTGAATACATCTTCGCCATTGTGACCAACTTTCATCCATGTGAGTAATAGGTCTCAACTACTTATTCCTTTCGCCTCAGGGATGTCATCCTGGCAGTCTACAGCTCCTATCGGTAATTCAGTAAGTCGGTATAAGTTTAGTGTACTTCAGTATGAGCCATGCTTATCATGTGAGGGGTTATCATATTAACAAACTGCCCAGTGCAAAGTAGATGGATTATAATCTGACTTAGGAGCTAAAACTTGAAAGCTGAAATCTACACAAGTTGCACTATGACGCACCCTAGAATGAACATTATTGGGATAACTTTAAAGTCAACCCTGCAACTGATGTGACAGCCAATAATATTCCTACATTTAATGAAAAAGTATTTTCGCAAGAGAGATAGTGAAGTCTGATTGGTCTATCCAGCAGCTGCTAGGGTGGCCTTTAAAGTCAATCCCATTAATGCAGGGTATCTCTGATGGCGAGATAAGAACTTAGAGACAGTCAATTACTGTTCTATATTTTATGAAAAAAGAGCGACTTTAGAGGCAACTATGACAACTAATCAGATAACCAATTACGGTTCTGTATTTTATGGAAAACTGACCTTTCAAGTTGAAATAGAGGAACCTAATTGGTTACTTCAGCTGTTATTAGGTTGATCATTTAAGCCACTCTGAAAAGATTACTTCCTAATCAAAAAACAATGAATTCAAATGACTTTAAAGGCAGCCCTAACAACGACCGAAATGACCAATAAACTTTCTTCCTTTCAAATAGAAAGGTGGCTTTTTTACAATACAGAACTGTAGTTAGGACTGACTTCAAAGGCCATCTTAGCAACAATTAAAATAAATTAGGCCTCTTTTTTGGCTGGAAAGATAGATTTTCATAAAATGGAGAAATCTGATTGGTTAATTTTACATGTTGCTAAGATGGCCTTCAGAGTCATTCCCAGAGCTTGATTGGTTATTACAGCAGTTAACGTTTATAAATATCCCAAAGAAAGTTTCTGTTGTAAGGCTCCAGTTTTGTGTAAAACATTGTTATTGATGTGAACATTTTAATGTATCGTTCTCACACCATTTTTTACAGTATGACCAGTAGTCTATTTTCTGCTCCCATTGTAATGTAAGTCGCTGGATTGGTTAGTCTTTACTCTTACTATCCAAATGTCTCAAATTGGGGACAAAGTCATTTTTCATGCATGTACATATTCATGTGTTTCGGGATTGATTTATTATATTCTCAGAGTAATAAACTCTCCCATCATTCAGCTTCGGTCTTCTCTCTATTCGTCCCGGGGTTGCAGTCGGTGAGTCTTGCATACTAAGTTAGCTGTCAGCTAAGCGTGCGTATTATATTCGTTCCGAATATATAACGTTGGCGACGAAGATATAACAGTTTCATCAGCTACTTACTTTACTTTCGATACTGTTTCGTAGTGCAGTCACCTTGTTTTGTAGTTAGATCCTTAAGGATGTCAAATTTAAGAGACTACCCTAGCAACTGCTGAAATAATCAATCGGGCTTCGGTATTCCGACTAGAAAAAAAGTTTACCATAAAATAGAGAAAAGAAATTGATTACCTCAAGGACTTGTTAAGGCGGCTTTTAAAAGTACTCGAAATTAAGAGTGGGCAAAGATTGAACCAAGCACATTAAAGACACTTTATGGAAGCGACACAAGTTGTAGGATCTAAAAACCATTAAAACGTTTACTAAACATGATGGGAGTAAGTTAAAACATATTCACAAAGAGACAATTTTACTAAGATGTACACGATTATGTTCTTACCTTTTGTTCTCTAAATCGTCCATCAACAATACTATGTGCTAAATCATCCATTCGTTTACGTTCAACAATTTGATCCAGTACGGCTTCCATCAAAGAATCTATAATACACAAGAGAATATATAGTTCAAAGGAAAACAACCAATGAATCAAGACTTTAGTTGGTTGTGACTAGCAGAGGCATCCAGCGCATGCGTTTTGTCCCACTCGAGACTCGTCAGCTGGATGTACCTGCACCCTAGTGAGTGATGTTGTTTCCACCGAGACTCGAACCTCGTAACCATCGCTTCAAACGCTAAGGCGTTATCCAGTATACCACGGAGGAACCGTGACGTTGACATTCAGGCAATATCGAGGCATCCACACATAGGAGCCCATATGCAAATACAGGTCGGACAATTCAATCCAATGAAACAACGGAGAATTTCAAGTATGTCAATAAATAGGTAAATCAAGAATTGCCTATTATAACTCGTTAACTGCCCTTATATTAGATACTGTAGTAGAGTTGGATCTTCACTATATACCAGTGAGTAATAAAACCTGTTCCATCACAAATTTTATTATAGCTTCCTACTGTGTGATAGATTATGAGTCATTTCACTTAATGGGTTCATACATTGGAATTCTGACGTATCAAGAAATATACCTACGTGAAAAACAGTCAAAAACGTCATAGATTAATGTCACGCTACGGTTTGGTGATCGTTAGCTTTCGACTACCATGATACGATTTTAGGTAGCTGCCCCCCGTACGCCTAACGCATATCTAAATTACCTAAGGCACTGTAGGTTCATAAAGTTGTTGCTGGTAACCAGATAACTAATGACCGCGGTGCCACCACACACGAGAAATGTTAGGGAGACAAAAATAATACGAGACTCAACCTTTAATTACCATTCAACCTTAACGGCCATATCCCACAGTGTCTTGATAGGCAACTGGATATCTCAACAGTGATATGTAGATCAAATAATTTTAAAGGCCTAACGATTATTTCCGATTGCTGATACCTTTTCTGTCTTACTAATAGCCTGGGTTCGTTAATGTCAATGTTTATTGTTGGATCAAAATTCCATTATGGCTTTTGTCATCTTACTAATAAGCTTTAGAAGTGTTAAAAAAAAGCTTCATGGATTCAGTTATCATCTTAGCAGTAAGTTATTATACGGAGTGATGACTGAAATTGAAATGAGAAACTGTGTTGCAGCAGAACTCAAACCAAAAGCATCCAAGTTATCAATAAGGTACAGTTAACTAACTGATACGGCAACTTAGTGAAGTGCGTTACCGTCGTGATTTATATTTTAGACAGAATTATACTTACAACATGGTAAATAAGAATGTCTACCTACCTACCTGCCTACCTAACCACTGACAATTGAGAATCTATACTGGATGATGATTGAAAGTAAAGTGAAAATTTGGACCGTGGCCGAATTCCAACCAGTTGCCACCGGATTTCTGGCCCGATGCTCTACCAACTGAGCTACGAGGACCTCATAGTTTAGTTGGTACAGCATCGAGCCGAAAACCCGGTGGTTGCTGATTCGAGTCCAGCCGCGGTCCAAATTTTCATTTCACTTTCAATCATCCAGTACAAATACTAGTCTGTCGAACTACGGCCATCTCAGATAGTCAGAAAGATAATTGAAAATTTAACAAGAAAGAGGACACCATTGGTCCAGGTCGTTACAATCCACACTACATCAATCAAGAAAAACGGCAAGAAGATAAGAGGAAAACAAATTGAAATAAAATAATGAAATGAGTAAGGTTTAAGGCAAATAACAAGATGTGACATAATGACAAGAAACATATAATGGTATAGACGTATCTATGGCCACAGCAATCGAATCTGATCTGTTTCAGCTAATATGGTGGAGAATAAGTGTATTTCTCAACATCTCAATAGTTACTCAACCAAGTTACGCTAAAGATTATCGACTTTTTTGCGATAGAAATGTGCAAATACCAGTGTTTAATGTATCGCTAACAGTAATCTTAGGAGAGCTATGCGTGCCTTTATACTTGAAGTTTGACCAAAGATGAGGCAGTGTCCTAATGAGGAAACCTATTTATCATAATTTATGAGGTTTCAAGCTATTTTTTAAAGTTCGAATTAGTTATGTTTAAGTAGAAGTTCGAGAAGAGTGATGATGTGACGTCCAACTAACTTTTTTACATGTAAATTAAAGATCGTCACATGATAGATTTGACTGACTGACTGGAAAAATCAAAGTAGAACCTCGCACAGGAGTGCATCGAGCTCAAGTTGGCATACACTTCACAGAATTACACAAAGAATTGGTGCATAGAAACAGAGTGATATCAAAGTAGATAAAGTAGTGTGAGAGAATAAACAATTTGAAGACAAAGGTTAGTGCAAATATTGAAGCTTAAGAAGATGTCAAGGAGTGACCGATTTTCAGCCATGATAGATTTACTATTAATACTTCACTTTCGCTTGAACTTCGGTTGCGATATTTTCTACTTATACGAACATGTGTAAGTAGTATAATTGCAGGATGTTTCAGAATAGCAAGGTAAAGTTAACATTCAATCGGTATAGGTTTCAATGGAAAAAAAAACGAGAAACATGTGTAGGAAATACACAAGATACATCAAGAAGTAACAAAATCTGAAGACTAACTCATCTCGGAGATTATTTGCATGAATTGTATTCAATGTAAGGTTTCCGTATCCGTTTTAAAATGCAGTGTAATTTCCTATAACTCTTCAACCGTATTCTTACTATACAGTTAGTGACTATTTTAACTAACACTACAAACTATTCTTCAACACACACCAGCACCTCTTCGAATTTTAACTGGATCAAGTGCTGAAGTAAAACTGTAACTTTTTGATCCAGTGAAAATAATATCAGGCATCTGAACAACATTTGCATACTCAATTTGTGGTTCACAGAAATTAAAAAAGTCTGTAAGAGGTTGACTACGGTGCATAGTTTTCTAGTGAGGACTGTGAAATAGTATATTCGTGCAGAGTATTGACTGTTAACGATCAATTAGACAAAGAGGTCACAAAACAACTGAAGACTAGTAGTTAATTAGTTTATCATTAGACTATCTGAGATAGCCGCAATTCGACAGACTAGTATTTATATTGCGTGATAATTGAAGTTGAAAGGAAAATGTAAACTGCGGTAGGATTCGAACCAGCAACTACCGGGTTTCGGCTCGATGCTCTACCAACTGAGCTACAAACGATGCACGGTCTTACTATTCGTGTAACAGCAGCGAATATATCTGAGTGCAACAGCATCTGCGAATGTTACTGGCTAATTGTGTCTCCATGAATATCATGAAAGAAACCATGATAGATTTTTATACAGTATGATTGGAACATTTTCGAATTTTAAATCAAAGTATTGATCTTGAGAACAAACAAGCGACTATCTTCCTACATGCTTGAAAACAAACTCAGAATTTTTTTCGAAGTCAGTAAATGTTCTGAGGAAAATTTGTAATGTATAGAATTATTTCAACATTGTTTGTGTCAGCATTAGGAGATGGGTCAGCTGAATACCATTTATAGACTATAAATATGAAAATAATCAGCCATTTCTAAGTTTGTTTAAGCGTGACATATGACATTGTGATGTGTAGTACTTCAATAGGAAGTAACCACGTCTGGGTAGCAGAAATGCTCCATTTTTTTCTATTTGTTATACATTAAAATTTCATTTTTAAAGTGACTTCTCTTTCATTCCTGCTACCTTTCATTCGATAATGGATTGTAAACTATCTTCTGTTGGTTGTTTATCGAGGTTATTTCGTTTCTTTATCCGATTAGAAGTTATTCAATGCCAAAGGCCTATTGTAGGACCTTTAGATACGTTCAAAGTAGCTATAAACATTTAAATCAACCACCTATACTAAACTTTAGTATTGATTTGAATGGCAGGCGTTCAAAAGTATTCGCTATGTTTCAAGGTCATTAGTGTAGCGCATATTCATCAAGGTAATCTCTGCAATTAGGACATTTTGAACGCCATTGATGAAAACACTTTTTTTTAATCACTTGCTTAGAAAATATGTAATTTACGCATTTTTTTAATGACAAAATTTTAAATATTACAGCAATGATTTCAGTTGTCACCATAACCTTCAAGCAGCTGCCAGCTTGAATGTATTCAAAGATTAGGGTCACAATATACCAGTCAGATATATAGATACTATAAAATTGACCAAACAAAAGTTACACATGTAAAGAAGACTCTTACCTGACTCATCTCTCCAACGTGCAATCCACAGAAAGTCTCCAATAGGGAGTGCTCTCGATTCACACTTTATATCATATTTTTGAAAGACAGTTGGAAGCATTTGCCTAACTTTATTTGACCTGTTTAGTTTCAAAGAGACAAAATTATTGAAAATAATGAAGGATAAATGAAGCTGTATAATCATTATTACTTGTGCATACAGTACCATGTGAGCAACTTAACCAAAGAAATGTATAGTAGATAGATAAGTAAAATTAATGTAGAACTTCAGATACAAGGTGGATCAGCTCAAGTTGCCACACTTCACAGAAGTACAAAAAGAACAGGTTCATAGAAAAAGAGTCATATCAAAGTGCACAAAGTTGTGTAAGAGAATAAACAATTTCAAGATAATGGTTAGCGAAAATAGTGAAGCTTTAGAATCTGTCAAAAAGTGACTACAGCTGCATAAATGTGGTCGATTATCAGCCATGCGCCACCAAGAGTCCCCAACTACTGATTCCCTTCGTCTTCAGGACCCCATCCTGGTGGTGTAAATCGTCCCATACAGCTTAGATCAGCAGCAAAAGACTTTATCGGCTGGTACCCCGCCTTTGTCTAGTCACCCGGAACCCTCTTACAACCTAATCCAACTCCCCCCTTGCATAGCGCATAGAGGTAAGCGGTGACTCGATAATGCATAGTAACTGATAGTGTTTAAAGATAAAATCAGTCATTTTATCCCATATGAGACTTGTCAACAAGAATTTTATGCTTGAAAGAGGTTTGAAGATGGAATGAAATCGGATCTTGCACTGGCTCAAACCAACAAAATTTTCAACAATAAAAAAAGGAGGAGAAATCAATGGAAGGAATATAATAAAGTTGATCAGCTGGTTAAGAAACTATTGAACAGAATGATAACGTTTTGGCAAATGTAATGGCATATGCTTCAGTTTGATGCGTTCTGAGTGAAATCCCTTATAAAGTTAATTAGTAACTCAGTAACCTAAGAAAGCAGAGGTTGGTAAACAACCACAAGTGGTGGAGAATATTTGTAGCTCAAGTGGATGGTCTTGGTTGTATTGTGTTCTCTGAGCAGGGTTGTTTAATCGTGGGGCTTTCAGAAGTACCTACAACCGAGGAAAAAAACGACTATGTGACCAACTTATCAAAACAACCACTAACAAAAATGGAAAAACTTCAGAAAGGATTGAATTACAACACAAGAGATTCATCCAAACCAGAAAAGATCAAAAGCATTAGTGTAGAAAACTATGAATTAATGGTATCCTTCGATGTCACAGCATCATACATACTAATCGAACCCCAAATGGCTAAGGTAACTATGTCCCTTCAGCTCACTGAAGACACAAGCGTTTCAGAATGCACAAACCTTGAATGTTCAAGTTTGATGGAACTCGTCGATCTTTGTCTCACGACATACTTCCAATTCAATGGCAAGATATACAAACAGATGAAAGGAACTCCAGTGGGATCACCGATATTCAGACTAATTGCAGAAGCAGTCATGCAGAAAGTGGGAGCCATCATTCTACCCGTGATCAAACCGAAAATTTGGATTCGGTATGCAGATGATACTTTGTCACCAATAAAAAGGATGATACAGAAAACACCCAGTTTCATCAACAACGTTTTCAATGACATCAAATTCACAATAGAGAAGGAGTCGAACAACCAACTACCATTCCTAGATGTTTTGGTCAGTAGGACAAATGACGGAAAGCTGGAAACCCAAGTGTGCAGGAAGCCAACACACACTGACCAAATCCCGAACTGCAACAGCAACAACCCAATAACACACAAAATTAGTTGCATGAAGACTGTTCAAAAGAGCGAGAACACACTGCAGTACAACAACTTCATGGAGAAACGAAGAAAATTACTTCATGTCCAACCTAAAGAAAGACGGCTACCCACGAAACTTTATCAGAAGATGCCTATCCCGTACATCACCAACTACAAAGCCATCCACAGAAATCAACAAACGCATCACCCTACCATACATAAAGAATATATCAGCAATCACGACAAGATTACTGAGACCACTTGGAATTAATGTGGCTCATGAACCAAGAAATTCCCTCCAAACACTATTATGCAGACCAAAGGATGCAACAATCAAAGAAGACAAACCGAATATCATTTCCAAAATCAACTGCAATTACTGTAGTCAACACTAAGCTGGACAAAGTGGTCCTCTTCAACTTCGTTTACATGAGCACCAATTGGCTACTAAACGTCACGTATGAAATTTTACCACTCATTTCAATACACGTGGATAACAACTAGGGACAAGAATTGAATTTTGACAGTGTAGAAATCGTGGATCAAGACAGGAAACATAAAGAATATGAGAAAATTGCTAGAAGCTTGGCATTCAAACCAGTCAGCAATTAACTAATGTATAGACATAGACCCAACCTACCAACCAATAAGAAAAATGATAAACGACAGAAAGGTGAGAAGTGAAGCAGAGGGACAGCTAACAGAAAAAATCTATGCAGTCAATGACACAATAACCCACGGAAACAACCAATCACAAACCAGTTCGTCAGGACAAGCTACTAAATCACTCACGGAGAAATATTGACAGCTCACTTCATTCTGAATTTAGTGCTGATGTCACTGTCTAGAAAGACGCTGAACGCTCCACGATTAAACAACTCAGCTCAGAGAACACAATAAAACCTAGACATCAGTAACTGTATTCATCACTGTACTATGACAGACAGAAGCATGACTTATGGTCTGGTATAATTTCATAACGGCTCAGGGTATTACACTTGTGATTGTCCATAGTCATATCATCATGGTCTGATTATGGACAATAAATTGTGTCCGAAACGTAATCCAGTAAATAACATACCGTTTCACTGTGTGATATATCTAATAAACTAACTAAAATGGAACTACAAAAACAGATGGAGTGTGAAACTTTGATAACCACATATGGTAGACAACCTTCCTCACCTCTAGCCACACATTTTACAAATGGGCCACAAAATTATTATTCAAACTGCTTTCAAAGTTTTATAGAGAAACAGGGATGCATACCAAGATTTGCGGAGGCGATAGACATACAGAAATCTAAACAACCTTTCTTTGTATGCACGAAGGCACTTTGCTCTTACACTACACCTACCTACCTTGGTATACTTTATTTTCTTAACAAGATCAGGGTCAACTGTATCATTCTTTCTTTCTATCCTCATCTTTCTCAACTTAAGTCTCCTATCATCTAAATTGTTCGATTTGTCTTCCCATTCTTCGGTCTTGTATAAATTGACTTGAAAAGTAAGCGTGTGATGAGATTGTTCGAAATATATTGCGCAAATATACCAAAAATTGTTCAGATAAAGCCTGATATTGAATAGTTGAGGAAATTGCCAAGGAATGGCTTTGTGTTTCAGTTCAATCGGCATTTATCGAGACAAAGTGAATGAAAGGTTATAGATCTTTCAATCATTCATAATTCAGTGTCACAATCACTTTGGATTATTTAGTCTATGACTGATCACCATAGGAACAGGTTGCCGACATCATTTCAATGTATTCATTAAGAAACGGGACACGCTTGATGAATTGAGTGTTTAAACTTCACTAACGAATGAGTTGGTAGAGGAAATCAGAGAATTCAGTCAATTTTCCCTTTCCTGTGATAAATTGGTCACAGTTGGTTAGTTTCTATTTGATAAATTACATCATCCAGTTAGTACTTCAGGAAAGGATAATTTTCACTCATCGTACTACTTATGGATAGTGAATGACTAACGGTAGGTTTACTTAAGTTAACAACAAGTTAACCATTTGGATTAACCAGAACCTCATGCACTAAACTGGGCCTCGAGAACACCAAACCAACACCATTATCATTCGGAAGTAAAGCCTTTATCTATCATACTGTCTTACTTTATCATAGGTAGACCTTCATGAATGGGTTGGGCAGTGTGCTGTTAAAAGTATGTAAAATACGTGAGAAGATTCGGCTTAATGACTTAGAAACTCAACTTTAAAGCAATACGTCTCAAATTCAAGTCTCATCCCACCCACTTCGGCTGTGGCTTATTGCTCCAGACGTTCTACTTTCAAACTAGCGGACCAAGCGTTCAAGTCCCGCCCCATCTACCGAGGTTTGGACAACCAGATTAGACATTAAACTTCGGGCAAAAAGCATGGCTCAACATTTACTGTACAGGCGTGCATATTGTTGCGAAGTGCATTTCAGTTATTTTATACGACTTCAACCTGGAAAACTCGATGGCATAAGAGTAGTATTACCACAAGTCTTCACACAATACATTTTCCTCACAGCTTAAGTAAACAAACTTTTGAAGGGTTGAACTGCATTGCAGAGTGCATGTTACACCAATGAAATTAAATGGACTTAATTTTTCTTTCTTGATAAAAGCTCAAGATTCACAGCTTTTTTATTCCTACCTCACAATGTAAGAGAATACATTCGTGTTCATAGAACAAGTTATTAATTTCCATCTACTTCTATGATTCTGCAAAGCTTATAGAAGTTCTTACGAGAAGTCGTAATCGGTAGGGTGAGTCAATTCGAACATGAGGACAGGTACTCAAGACAGTATTGGATGAACAACGCGCTATATCACGAACTGACAGAAGTTAAAGAAAATGTGGATCATTTGATTCCAACCCAGTGGCTCAATGGTAACTTACTCACCGCAGAACCCGGAGATCCTGGGTGCACACCACTGAAGAGTCCCATACTAGGACGAAATAGCTGTCTAGTGCTCCCAGGTTTTCAATAGTTTTCCAACCAATTTCAGTTCGTGAAAAATATCAAGTTGAAATCAATAAATAAATCCCTACAAACCTCCAAATCAAACTTCTAGAAAACAATTTTTAAAGATAGGATATCTTACCCGAAATTTTCACGAACATCTGCCAAGAGAATAATCTCATAAGAACCACCTGGAATAATATGATGAGAAGATAATGTAGATGTTTTATGTGTTTGAAGATCCATACTCACACAGTTTGTCGGATTCACTGCGCTGGTAGGTTGTGCGCTCAAAGAAGATGCATCAGAAGATTCTGAAGGATGGTTATTAAAGTCGATAATCTGCTCAGCAACCTGAGACGTGCATGTTTGTATCACCTGATGAGTTAAGATTGGTTGTAATTGAGTTGGAGATTTTGGTTTTATTCTTGCTTCAGGAAGTAAAGAGGTTGTACAATTTCGGTTTAGTTTTTTCCTCTGCTCAACACAAGAGCCCGATTCTAGATAAAATGAAGTTACATTAAAAATAAATGTTGCACATATGAGAAGAGATTGGAATGAGTATCAGATGAAATTGCACTCAGCATAAAGAACAGGATCCGGATTTTCAACACCAATGTCAAGTTAGTGCTTCTGTATGGCTCGGAGATTTGGCGCGTTACGAGGGGCATTTCCAACAAATTACAGATATTGACCAACAACTGCCTACGCTGGCTCGATACTGAAGATCAGATGGCCAGAAAGAATAAGCAACAAGGAACTCTGGTTGGCAACAAACCAACGAAGCAAGAACCTGTCGCTCAATAAATATGCAGAAGGAAGTGGAGATGGATTGGTCTGGACATACACTGAGAAAACCACTTCGAGACATCACGCGCCAGGCCAGCCCTCGAGTGGAACCCAGATGGGAAGCGACGAGTTGGGCGTCCTAAGGTGACATGGAGGAGATCGTGTGAGGAAGAAATGAGAGCTTGTGGGCTGTCGTAGAACCAGGTTCAAAACATTTCAGGGAACAGAGTGCACTGGAGACATGCTACTGAAGCCCTATGTTCCATTAGGAACCCAAGGAACAAATAATACATAATAATAATCAGATGAAATTTAGGAGGACTATTGTCCACATAAGTACAACGCCATAGGTTTGTAACAATAGGCCCTTATGTTGTAAACATAACATAAACCACCGTTTTTATTCCCTTCAGAAGCCAACACACTGAGAATAACTGATAAGCATGAAAACATTTTCAGCAGCCACCAATAACAACTAAATCTCATCTCATCATACTCAGCAACTTTGTTCATTTTCATGCAGTAGGCAATGACGGCTAGTGATACTACCTGACTAGCCAAACCTCAGCAGATGAAGCCAGGTCCAAACCGATGACCCATCGGTTGAAAGTTATCTCCCTAAACCAATGAGTCACAGCTCACTAACGATTGAGTAACCGCCCCAAATCACGAAGTAAGCATACAGTTGTCCTATTTTACTAGAAGGTTCATTTTTAATAGGCATCGGTAACCAAATAGAAACCGTTACATTTATGAGTTGATCAAGAAACCGCTTTTAAATTTACCTTGATAGGAGATGTATGTATAAACATTATTAACACGAAAAAACAAATAACTGTTCACCGTATATTAGTGATGGATAGTGGCTAGCAGCGGAATCCAGGATGTGCATTCCGTCCTATTTGGGATTCATCAACTGGATGTACCTGCCTCCTAGTAAGTGATGTTTATCCCACCGGGATTCCAACTCGGGACCGATCACGTCAAACGCCAGGGCGTTATCCACTACACTACCGAGCCACGATAGCCACTTCTTGTGCGACGGGTATGGGTTTAGTGTTATTGCTTGTACTACACCGTCGTTGACTGAACTGAATTGATCGGTCTCTATTGGCATATGCGCTCCTGCGCAGATGCCTCGATACTGCCTGTTTTTAATTATATAATAGTGATGGATAGTGGCTAGCAGTGGAATCCAGGATTCCTATTTCGTCCTATTTGGGGCTCGTCAACTGGATGTACCGTTCACTATTTATACATTTTTTAAAAATGGTTCTTCGAATAGTTTAGCAGGAAGGTTATCCGAAAAGTGTGGAATATTTGAATAAAACATTTCGAAAACTTTGACCACACATTTAATTTTCATATAAAATTAAAGTGACAGTAGATGCAGAAATAAAAGAATGCTTCGTTTTAACATCAACCTTACATATAGAAAGAGATAAAGATAAACAAAGATGGTTTATGGTGAGAAAACGCTTATTTTGAGCACACATCAATTGTGCGTATGCACCACATATTATAGGTACACTTTGTCTTCACATTAATACATGCAAATTCATCATCGAAGTAACTAACTATTTCAAATTTCACTCGTTCTTCAAATAAGATGAACGTACGATGAAGTCTGCCTTCAGAAATAAGACTCATACTTAAAGGTAAACGACATCAAGTGTCCGACCACTGTAGCCGTCGTAGCATAGGCCGTTTACTAGTGCCAAACACGTCAGTAACTTAGAAGTCAGGAGTAGAGTTTTTATCAGGAGAGGCAATTCAGTTGATAAGGTCGTACAGTTTCTTCGAGTCAAATTGCTAGGATATGTACTATGCATATCTAGTCTTCGTTTACCTATAACGTAGTGTTGACTGAAGTAGTTTTAGGCTGAGAAAAGATAAGAGATGACCAGACTAAGACATGGTATCAGTCCATAAATTCTCTGGTCCTTTATCTGAACTGTGTATCGAAGTGTAGACATATTGGTTGCGTTCCTAAAGACAACCAAAATCGGCGATTAGAGATTATATTATGCAATTGAAAATCGATCTCAGTGACGAAGATGCATACATACATCATTTTTATCGCAAACACCACACTTAATTACATTATTGTTTTATTCCTTCTTCTTCTTCTTCTTCTCCTTTTACGATTTTTCACCACATTTTACTACTCTATCCTTTGTTTTATTGTATTTCATCTTCGTGTCTGCTACCTTGATGGGTATGGTAAACGTAAGTAGTTACGCAATAACGTCGGGTATTATGTTGACATCGACTAACTAGCAAAAATATGTTCAAATTCCTAAATTACTTCAGTGCAGATGACTAAAATCACGTTTGAAAACTACACCCGCTGCACAAGAAGCGGTTAGCGTGACTTGGTGGCCTAGTAGATAACACTCTGGAGTTTGGAGAGATCGGTCCGAGGCTCGAGTCTCGGTGGGAAAAAAATTGAGCACTGGGGGACAGATACAACCAGCTGACGAGTCCCAAATAGGATGAAATGACGCTCATCCTGGATTCCTCTGCTAAACACAACCAAGTAAATTATCATAACAAATATCCAGTCAATATCGAGGCATCTACATAAGAACCCGAATGCTAACAGATGTCGAACAATTCGACCCAGTGAAACAATCAAGAATGACAAGCATATCAACAAATAGTAATAACAGTAGAAAAGTTGACTTCTCAAAATATTATCACAAGAAAATACGAATACTATTGCTGATATTTATCACGTAAAACGAATGAACGTGTCTTCGAGTCGAATCCTGCTGTAACGAATTTCTTTCGACATTTCATTCTTCAACAAAGCGCTCTCAGCAACGTTTTGAACATTCATACGGTGGGTAATGAGCCACACCTTTTGTGTGAGGGCTACTGATACTACCTGGTTGCCCAAACCTCAGTAAGTATGGCGGGGCTCGAACCCGTGACTCATTGGTTGATAGTTACCTCCCTAAATCACTGGGCCACAGCTACACACCTACTTCAATAAACAAATCAAGATTGTTCGTTTATTTATCTAGAGTATGGCACAATGATCCAAGTAACCGACCAGATTTCAAAAATAGCATGAGAGAGCTACGGGTTATTATACTACTTGGCTACCCAGACCCGAGTACACCTGAGTATACGAACCCAGTACTCAAAACTTGACAGTTGAGTATCTTGTTATTGAAACAAACAATATCTACTCTCTACATTCTTCAAAAAGCTAGAAATCAGAAAAAGGGATTTGTTCTTTTATACACGAAATGTTCACCGGTGGGGTAACCGATATAGACGTCTAGTCTGTAGTGTTTAGCACTTACTGAAGTCTTTCAATTATGTTTTTTTGTAGTAATTCAATCCTAAAGGGGGGTTAGTCATAGTTTGCATACCTTGGTAGTTAAGTCTCTGACTTTAGTAAAATGATGCAGGTTGAAGTCACTGAGGAAACACCAGTTCCCTTATAGTTGCATATACACCTTGCTGAAGAATGCCAATATACACGAAACCTAGGTCTAGGAGGTTTCCTGTAGACACACTCCATCTACATAACAACAGTTTACTATTTCACTAATAGGATTTGTTCTCGCCTAGGTAATGATGAAAAATAGTACATTTACACAAAAAGTAAATCTTTTTTAATTCTTCAAAAATGATAAAAATCTGTTAAGCAGGTTACCTTGAGATTTGCTCCGTTTAATTCCAGTCATTTGATGTACTGAATTAATTTTTAACAGAGGTTTAAATGTAAAGTTGGTAGATACTGTAGTTTCAGTCTTGACATTCATTGATTCCTTTATATTCTGTAGATCTTCTGTATTGTCATCATTGACTTTGTTTACAGATATTATGCTTGATATTGGATTAGTAGAAAATTTTGGAGCATTTGGGTCAAGTAAATAAGCATATGTATACGATACATCATCTTCTATACATCTGTTTAAGAAAATAAATATACACAAGTATTATATATTGACACAGAATCTTATTACTATTGATGGTCGTAGCATTTCCTTGAGTTTTCAAGAATGAAGTAACACGTCAGTTGAAGTAAATATCATTTTACTTATATCATCTTCTTTTAGTGTCAGCTGAATATCAAGTTAAGAAGTCATTGTTTTATCGTTAATCATCTCGCGTCGGAGTATTGTATCGTTACATATACCGTGGATCATAACACAATGACAGTTATCTACGATCCATGTTTTTCACTTTTCAGCTGATACTACACAGTTGACCAACAGAGAGGAGCTGAATGGTATCAAAAGAGTTTCAAATGGCCTACTGTGCATTCAAGCTATCAGGGGGAATCGAGTACAGTATATTCAACCGTTTTAGGCAAAGACAACACCGATAACATATTTCAGATAAAAACGCACTTTGATAAAATAATCTAAGCATTCCTCTCGACAGCCATCATTTCTCAAAGTTTGTCGTTATAAGTCCTAAGCTATGATGAAGGATTACGTGATATGAAGTGGCATTAAAGACTTGCATCCACAAAACGATCAACAGTGCAGATCAGTATGATATAATGTAGTAAACTTGATGCTTTCCGGGTTTCATTCTATAAGTGAACACTTTCTGAATGGAAGTCTACAGTAAAGCTTACCATAACAGACAATCGATGGTCTGAGTTATATGAAAGAAAGTAGACTTTGAGGTTGGGGACTATATGAAAAATGAGGTTGATCATTGGAGACTCTATGTCATGGGCTCAGAATTGATTTCAGTAATACAGATGTATTTACACCTTATGTTCACCTTAACCGTTATATCACTGTTCGTTACTTGCTTTACCTTGTCTTGTTCTCGTTCCAAGGTTTTTATATGATTATTCATTTCGGCATTTCTGTTTCTCAGACTTTCATCTCGTTAACTGGCATCTCAGTTTGCTGGTTTATAGTGATTTAACTGAAACTGTTGTGCAGTAATGTCAGCTACCGTGTTGATATTGAATGAAGTGTTCCTTTTAGGACATTAAGAATAGTATACAATGACTGATTCAGAAAATACATCCTACGATAAAATCATGTTCGGATATTGGTAACATAGTAGAATGAAAATGCTTACCCTGATCTACTCCAATCTATGCGATAGGAAACACCAGAAATAATTAAATCTTCATAAATACAGCGTATACGATAGCCAGATAACTTATTTCCATCTAAAATATATTCACGTTGTTCAGCATTCACCTGAGCTTGTACAGGATTATTATGTTCATCCACATACGTAAAACTCAAAGGATAGGAGCTGTAAAAAAAGAGGAGATAATATCATCAAACAAATGTTGTCAATTAACAGATAGATCAACGAAATCTTCATGATGCGATTTGTGTCTCTGAAGGTAAAAAAAAAAATAATAATTCTATTTCAACTAACAGACTAAGAACACGACTACGTGGAATTCTATTAAACTGTCATCTCAACGAAGTTCAGAACATTAGTTCCTGTAGAAGACAATCTGAAAATGTGATTGGTTGGTGAGGTTTCAACAAATCGGTTAAGAAGTTAGAATTCCGTCCCATCTACGGAAGTTTTTGCAGCCAGATAGCAGGTATACATCACGCATCTCACCTTCAGAGATGTTTGAAGAATGGCAATGATGACAAAGTTAGGGAGAAGTGGCGAAATTAGACATCCTTGCTTAGTCCTACTGCTGGTTTGGAACAATAAAGAGAAGAGCGGGTTTTAAATAGGACCTGTAAAATAAAATTTTGATAACTTTTTCGAAGACACCCATCTCTAACTGATAATTTTCAATGGGAGTCCGGTACAGTGATTTCAAAGCAGTTTTATCCGCTTGAGACACAAAAGCACTTGGTCTGCAATCTGTGAGAAGATCTTCAAGTACCTAACTCGTACAACTCGTCGCTTCCCATTCGCGTTCCACTTGACGGCCTGGCATGTGATTTCCCACAATGGTCTTCTCAGTCCATGACCAATCCATCTCCACTTCCTTCTGCATATTTGTTGGGCGATGGCTTCCTGGTTGGTTCGTTGCCAGCCAGCCAGCCAGCCAGCCAGCCAGCCAGCCAGCCAGCCAGCCAGCCAGCCAGCCAGCCAGCCAGCCAGCCAGCCAGCCAGCCAGCCAGCCAGCCAGCCAGCCAGCCAGCCAGCCAGCCAGCCAGCCAGCCAGCCAGTCAGCCAGCCAGCCAGAGTTCCTTGTTGCAGATTCCTTTCTGACCATCTCATCTTCAGTGTCAGTATCGAGCGTAAGTGGCAGCTGTTCATGATGTGTCTACAGTTTGTTGGAAATACTTTTTGTGACGCGCCAAGTTTCTGAACCACATACAAACACTGAATTGACATTAGTTTTGAAGATCCGGATCTTGTTCTTTATGCTGACTCGAGTGCAGTGCAGTAGATCTCCACATTGCTTTCACGTTGATGAACACCTGTCTAGCTATTCTAATCCTGGCTTTGACATCCTCATCTGTGCCAACGCCTGTAGTTGAGATGATGCTGCCTAGGCAGGTAGGTGAAAGAGACAACTTCCTTCAGATTTCTCCCGTTGATGGTGCTTGTTGTTGTTGGTTGGGTATCTTCATCGCTTCTGTCTTCTCTACGTTCACTTGAAGTCCCGTCTTCGCTGCCTCTTCTGTTAGCTTGTCGGTTTTTGCCTGTAGATTTTCGAGTTTGTGCGATATTAGACACAAATCATTATCGGCGGAATCCGAATCTTCTTCTGGGGTTAATTCATCCGTCAAACAGCGTATACTCATCTATTTTCTCACGGTTTGCTGTATGACTCAGTCTAGTCGACCACAATCAAGATGATCGGTGATAGTAGGCGGCAACCTTGTCTTACTCCTGCCTTCACTTCAAAGCCATCAGTGAGCAAGCATTTGATACAGAATGGATAAAAGATCAATGGATCCACAAAGGGAACGAAATTAGTTCTGTAAGTCACTCGTCACCTTTTAATACAGTTTAAGAAGTCAAGAAGAGTGTGATAGAAAAAAAATATTTTGGAAGCATCTGACAGTAGACGGTTGTCGCATACATTACGTAGGCTCTTTTTAAGGACGGCGGCCTTACTGGAAAAGTGAAGGTCAAATTCCAGTCTGCCACTGGTGGGTCAGTGGCCGACGAAATGAACACACGGAGACAGAGGGCTTTTGCCGAATTATGCCATTTGTGGCACCGCCACGATATCTGCTGCCTTTGTAGTACAGCCAGTATTTTTTGATGTCACCATGTGAGTAACGCAGAAGTCAGAGGTAGAATTTTACGCAAGAGAGGTTGTGAACCTTCATCAACTGAGATGGCTGGGACATGTGTTACGTATGCCTAGTCACCGTCTCCCTCATCACACAATGTTGGCCGAAGTAGGTCCAGGCTAGAAAACAGCTTCCGAACCCCACACTAAAACATGACTGTTCGTTTGAGTCATGTAGGGCGATGCAGACTAGCCAGTTGTGATCCGTGGGACAACAGAAACTAGTGGTTGGAGAGTCCAGGTGATATGGCTCAGAATCGATGTTAGTGGCGCGGATGCGTCACATTATCCTTATTTTCACCGCTATACTTAATCCCATAATCTCATTCTTCTTTCGTTTTTTTTCATTACTTTCTACTTCCACTTCCTCTGACCGAGTTTTCTTTTCTTTATCATCTTCCATTTTATTGCCTTGTTACTTGGTGTGGTTGATATGAGATGAGGTGTAGCAACTAGAAACGTTACGCAGTCATGCCTAGTCCTATGTTGATCTTGATGATGAGTATTCAAGAGTAGTAGTTGTTTTTGTAGCCGTTCAGAGTAATGTTCCACCACACTTAGATGGATAGTTCGATTACTTCTTGCAATATGTGTATCTATGCCCACACACACACGTGATTCGGCATGCGCAAAGTTCTACGGTCTTATCCTCCGTGCAGTGTTGAGGTTAAAATTAAAGTATGAGTTTTGCTCTCTCTAGCATAGCAAGATTAACTGGATATTACTCTATTTTAGCAAATGAATTAAACCGCCTTCTGTAGACTGAGTTTTAACCTTTCCCGTTCAACTAAAGAGTGTGTTGAGGAAGTAATAGTCGTTTTCTGCTTCGTACAATAAAATAATATATGGTTCTGTACTCTGCTGAGTATCTCAAAAGTTGTGTTGCATAGTGATACCTGTAGAACATCACTAATAATACATCACTGAACATATGTTATACAGAGAAATTTTACTGACTACATCTCTAGTTAGGATTTCTACATGTGACGTATAGACGTCAGTTACCAATGGCTATTTTATTTCTAAACATATTTCTCAATTTACACTGTGAAAAAGCCTTACTAAAACAAAATTGTTAAGTTTAACTCAGTAAAACCAACAATTTCGTGCACCAATCCGGTATATCATACACCTTACCTAGCCAAAAATGCTACTCAATAGCTATTGAATCTAAAATGGATGGAGTAATTGTGAATCCACAATCCAAAGGATCAAAGTTAATTAATTACTTTGAACTCCGGATTACACTTCAATCTAAGCTTATACGTCTCTACTGAATATGATGAATCTATAAATGAAAAATTATAAAGGGATAAGGCGTATATTTTCAAAGTTAAAAACCATACCCAGTAAAAATAAACAAGTGCCTACCTTATCTTATAAGATAAGTCGGGGATTTCGTGAACTGGTGACTTAAGTAACGAGTAACCTGTTTGAGATTTTGTATCCAACGACGTTTCACTGGTATCTATTTTAACAAAAGCATTATCAATAAATTAATCAACAATCACCAACCAAACTAATCAATAAATTAATTATTCCCTCATGGGGTCATGGGTGCGGGCACTGCTGTCCAGTGCTCCTAGGATTTCAATGTTCCTCTATCTGATGTCAGTCAATGATGAATTCCAACCTAAAATCAATTAATAAATCTCTAGATAGCGCTCATTGGTGACTAGCCTCGAGAGGTGGTCCCTGAAATACCAATGAGAAGTCATGACCAGTGGAGTCAACTAAGTCAAATATGAGGACAGTTACTCAAAGACAACATTGGATGTAGGTCACGCTATATCGCGAACTGACAGAAGTAGGAAATGTGGACGTTTGGATCCCGACCCGGTGACTGGATTTTAACGTGCCAACCACGGAACCTGAGGGTCCCGGGTTCGACCCCTGACGGGATCGTGGGTGCGCACTGATAGAGAGTCCCATACTACGACGAAACAGCTGTCCAAAGCTCCCCAGGCTTCCAATGTTTCTCCAACTGATGTCAGTCCATGACGAATTCCTACCTAAAATCCGTTAATAAACCTCCAAATTAATATAACGCTGAAATTTTTATCCATGTTATGATAAAGAGATAACAGGGTTAATCACCTTTTATGTATTAAATTTCTTATGTAAGATGGAAACAACAGTGAAATTTCTTTAATAGATTATGTTTACTGAATAGTAAACAACGTCACTGAAGATTCTTCATACGAGAAGCGAAATGTTGATCAAGAAGTACAAATTGTCTTCAGAAACTCTACGAATTAGATAAAAAGCTTAATTGGTTTTTATCAGTGATAACATGCCACGTACTACTACTACTTAGATCTGCTTGTACAAGCAGTACACATCACGGTGCGTTTTGTATCTCTCAGAAGGACTTAACCAAGGACACAAACTCACACATCAGTGACAATTCAAACCTGCAACCCTCAGCACAATTATCATAGACTTCATCATTACCTATTCGAAATCGCCTAACTCACTTTAAGGCTGGTTGGTTGAAAGTAATTGGTGATAGACAAGGGAAAATTCGAATTATTGAGAATCTTTAACGTCGAAAGACGCTACTAATCAACAACTTGAGTAGTTAGAAGCCACTCAAGCTGATTTGTAGTATTTCGCAAGCCAGATCAGAGTGATTTAAACACTGGACAATAGTTTCGCTCGCTTGAGGTTGAGCTCATTAGCAGTGTTCCCAGATAAATTCAGTTCACACAGCCAAATTATTTCAATGCATTTGAATCAAAGTATCTAGAAGAAAACAGTGTCTATCACAGCTTCATTTTGTTAACTGACTACATTTAGCGTCTTCATATGTTACGTACACTGCCAGGAAAACTTAAAAAGCGCCTTTCACTTTATTTACTGTACAACCCAAGTATTGGGATTTTTGTTCGAACTCCGTGACCAGCATCAAAAAACATCACTGTTACTCACTATAATAATCAGTTACAACAATTTTAAATGAAGCAATGGCTATCAGGTGTCATCTGAGTGTTCAGTTTCTAGAAATTCATTCCCATTTACGACTACAAAAATATCTCACATCATTAAGCATAATCAGACTACTTAAAGTAGGCACATTCCTTGGGTGAAATTTATTTGACCGTTAGTTGGATGGAGGCAAAACGCAGGAAGCCCTGTTTGACCGAAGGCTTTGTGGTTTTTGGCACTCATCTGAAACCTTGACGGAACTGATGTTCCACCTGAGATTTGAACCCGTGTCATCCAGTGGCGCAGTCAGAGACTTTACGACTGAGCTATTCAAGCTGTGATTAACCAGAGGGACTGGATCAAATATATTGGTTGGTCACTGGAGGGTAACTAACTGCATGTTTTCTAGTCCTGAACGCTGATCGAATTCCGTCAATTATTTCGCAATGATGCCACTATGCTAGGAGACTCAGCACTACGATGCACTGATACAGATGCTAGTTAGATGAATGCAAGCAACAGGAAGCCCCAAGTTTCGTGCTTTTTGGCACTCGTCACCAAGGCGTATCTGATAACGCCGATGTGGACACATTGCAAAGTAATCTATCGAATTTGACCAGCATAAAGGGTTCGAGAACATGAAGCAGATTATTCCCCAGTGACCAACTAATGTATTAACTTGTTTGCCCATCACTGACTGAACTGATCCAGTATTTAAAAGAGTACAGTTAATATATCATATGAGTTGAGATTGTAAACTCTTATAAGTCACATATGTTAATGCAGCAAAGGGAATCTATCCACGTAAATGACCTACTGCAGATAAACAAAGTTCTCCACGGATTAAAAGAATTTCTGAAGTAGTTTCAATGTGAAACGTGTAACTCAGCTATTTGATACAGGTTGCGGTGGTAGGTTATGAATCACAATGAGAGGGTGTCCGCTACCGACGGAGAAATACGTAGAGTTGAGTTCCAACACAAGACTTAGTGTTTAGTAATCAGAAGCTAATATCAGTGAGCTACACTTAGGAAAAGTCAACCAACTAATCATGTACTACCGTATTTTTACTCATATACCGTCATCAGTCAATGGGTGTGAAGTCCATCCTAACAATACAATCTTCACACTATCTAACACAGTGAGAATACAACGTCTGTGTAGGCTACAATATAAAGTGAATAGTGTATCTGCCAAAAATATCTAGAAATGTACAAATCTCAAAGACCAGTGTAGGTGGTCTGACCAAGTGCCTGTACCACCGGTTATAGGTCACTTGGTCAATGAAATATATGGACCACCTTTGAATGTATCCTTTTTAAGCAGGTACCACTAATTTTGTTAAAATCGACGGTCACTATGTGACAAAAAGACAGATTCACATATAAGAGGAGAACTTGAGTAATGTGGTCGAGTAAAGAGTCCCATCACATTTCTCGAATTGTATGTGTCACACAGTGAAACAGCATTGTGTACTGTATGGTGCTTCGAGTAAAATTTATTGCACATAATCATACCAAGTTAATCACAGAATTTTCTGGTTTAGCTATGTATTTTCAGTGTTTTTCGTTCTTCGATTTAACTGGTGTTAAAATCCTCCACATATCCGTAATTGGTATGGTATAGTTCTTTGTAAACATATCACATGTTGATTTGATCGACACGTTACTAATCTCTCTCATCTCCCACTCTATCCTATCCTATTCCGTGATTGTGCATGACATGAACGGCTATGGCTGGGCTCTTTTCTAGGCATTTTTTAAAGTTTCGCTAAGGTTTATCAATCTATATTTGGTTAGGTTTCTGTATTTTGATGATTTAAGTGACCTCGGCTGGTCAGTTTGACTAGTATGTTCCTCTTCACAATAAAACGTCATCCTGTAAATGATACTTGTTCACCGTGTGATACATGTAATAACAGAAATATAGTGGAATTATACGTCAAGAAACATTTATCATCAACATTAATAAACTGCTGTTACTTATCACAAAGTATCTTCGTTTATTATGTTAGAGAAACATAAAACTTAAATAGCGAAAATTCATCTTACACGTTGCCAAATCGCTTGGCTACACTTCATGTCACCGTAACGAAGAGATATCAATAAGAAAACTACGGAATGGAACTAAAAAACTGGATCAAGTCAAAAAGTAAGTGGTATAGAATAATTAGAGGAAGATAATCAGCTTACATAAAAGCACATCAGCACATCCGGTTGGAAACAAAACAATAGGTGGTGGGGTTCATTGGTTCAGGTGCTTGACTTTCACTCAATGGATGGTGGGTTGAATCACAGCTTCATCTACCGAGTTTTAAATCGTTAAATATTATTTAAATAGGATACCTATACTGAATAGCTGTTCAGCGCTCCCAGGCTTTCAATGGTACTCAAGCTTTTTACAAATCGTAGCGAAAGCCACCTTGAAATCAATAAATTCACCGTACACCAATCAGCCGTAACAATCTCACGCTCATCAGCGGATGGATTTACTGTGGTTCCAATTAGAAACCGTGTCCTGTATAGTCAACTAAGTTGCCGAGATGATTAGATGATGGTCGCACTATGCTGCGAACTGGGATAAGTGGCAAAATATGAAATATTAGATTCCATGTGAATGATCTAATAGTAATGTGCTCGCTGTGTGGCTTAATGATCCTAACCTCTGATGGTGTTGTGTTCTCTGAGCTCGAAAGTCCAGTAGTAACCCTTTCATCCATTCAGCTCAGAGAACATAACACCATCAAAATTATCGTATTAAGCTAAAAATATTCTCTATCATCTCACGATCCTAAGCTCAGTCGCTAAAGGAATCATGGGTTCTCATTGCTGCCGAATCTCAAATCGGCACTCCCAAGTTTGCAGTGATTTTTCAGATGATGTCAGCAGATAATGCAAACTAGGCTGATTGTCAGCACTAACTAGCACTAACAATAGGTCTATTTATTAGGTAGCGGATCTTGTGGAGAATAAATATCCCCCCCCCCATATCTCACCAGTTATTCATCCTAATTTCGCTAAAGATTACTAACATTTTTACTCCAGAAATGTTCAGCACTCAGTATTTTAGGTATATCCAGCAGCAATTTAAGTAGGGTTATATACTTCCTTATATCTGAGTTTTATCAGAGTTGAAGTATATGCTGATGTGTGCATCACATCTGCTGGTAACTGGAAACTTTATACGAAGAACAAGACAATGCTATAAAAGTAGAACTCCAGTGCTATGTTAGCCCATTCTTCACTTAGAATAATCTATCGGAAAGGAAGAGTGTCTAGGTATATTCACTGGTATCTATCTAATCATAAGGTGGATCTAAGGTGCTTGTTTCGTTGTTATCACAATCGAAATCGAAAAAAAAATCTAAATGTACTCAGCAGTTAACCAAACCTTTCGTTTGAAGGTTAATGATACTATCTCGCTGTCCACACCATAACCGAGTAAAGCAGGGGTCGAATCAGTAACTCATAAGTTAAAAGTCAACTACCTAAACCAGTCACAGGGGATACTATGAACGTAGTCAATTACAACTGAGGAATACTACAGGAATGTAACATAACAGTGTGAAATATTCAGAACTCAAGATTACAACAGATTAAACAATGACAATAAAACTTACAATCAGTTCCGTCATTTGATACCTCTGATTCAGAATGTAAAGAATTAGGAAAGTCTAGTTCACCGTCTGTTAGCTTAAACCTGGGTAGTGAGATACGAAAAAAGGGAAATTTATTTAGAAACAGCTGATAACATAATCTAGATGTAAATTTTGACGTGGTTAGGGTGCACATACAACTAAGGGGAGAAAAATGGTTTTTTAGAGGCCTGAACCATTAAATCAACAAGAGAGGCAGTATTATTAAGATACAGAGAGTCATCATGTGACTGACTTTATTACAAACTAAAATTGATAGACAGCTCAGTGTTTAGACATAGTTTTTTATAGGTAGTATTGAGACCCCGTAAATCGCATTGCTTGCCACTTAGCAACCCACTGCTGAAAATATTTGTATTAAGTTCAGTTAATGTAACAAGAATAGATAAGCAGGAACTAATAGGTGAAGAATATTGAATACTGAACTAAATATTGACCAGTTGGATAACGCTGTAGCGTTTGAAGCGATGTGTACTGGGTTCGAGTTTCAGTGGGAACAACAACATTCCCCGAAGTGCAGGTACACCCCGCCGATGGGTCCCAAATAAGACGAAACGCGTGTGCTTAATTCCACTGCTAGTCGCCAGGATGAATATATTTTGATGAATTAACACAGTTGCACTATTGTACTATTGTATGACCCCATTTGAAGGTATTCCTTTCACTTATCGATTACTGTTGTATTTGTTCTGACCAATAGAAAGCAGAATAGATCTGAAGATCGCTTAAGTGACTACCAAAATAACCAATAAGTAATCTTTATTCCAAGAAAATCCACCTGTCCAGCTAAAATAATGACTCTAATTGTTTGGTACAGTAGTTGCCAGGATGATAACTAAAGTCATTCTAGGAAGTAACAAACATTTAGTTTCAAAACAGAATACCTATTTTTCTTCGAAGATTACCCTTGAGACTACAACTATCACAGTTATGCGGTCTTCAAATGGAACTATTATCGAAATACAACGGGTGTTAGGAAACATGCTATAAATGAGACAACTGACTAGGTGTGACTACTTTTCTTAAAGTCAAATAGTCATATATATATATATATATATATATATATATATATATATATATATATATATATATAATATATATATATATATATATATATATATATATATATATATGGACGAGGTCTGACAGCAGTGAGGTGTTTTCCGTGAATGAACAGCAGTATCGTGCTGATGCTTCCCTCCCTATGAGAAGGAGGGTTAGAAAACACTGACCTCCAAAACAGAACACTTTCCTCTGTTCTGCAGTATTCTTGTGCCGGCTGTATAGGTTTTGTTGTCCAGCGTTAGCACAATCAAATTTCAAATTAACAATCCTAAAATGACCGTCAGTGACAGGGCTCAAGCAGGTATTCTATGGGCTCTGTGGTCACATTGAACTAATCCCTGGTGTGGGCAGCTGGGAGGCATCAACTAACCATTTGCTTCCAGCAGTATACAAAACTCAAACAGCCATAACCTATCCACAAATGTAAAATAATATCACAGACGACAGTAGTTGATTTCAACTTTTAAAGAGGGTCAGTAAAAACAAAGTCGAGAAAAACCAGTCAGGTTTCAGGGTGCATCGACCACATTTCTACCCTTCGAAAGTTTTTTTTAGAAAACGGATATACTTACTGCCACTTGCCAAACTGCTAGATCTGAAGGCGGCATCCAACCCAGCTGACTGATAGATGTTGAAGAGAATACTAAGCAAGTATACAATGTTAATCGATGCTCTTTACTCGAACTCACACAGCCGTGGTGTCCAACCTGGATTTCTATTGTCACCGTTCTTATTGTTAGCCTCATGTGACGCAAACAATATTTACAATTTCTAGAATAGCGCGGAAAACCAGTACGTGGTATTCCAAATGGGATTTTTAATATAAAAATGATATCTGACCGAGAATTCCAACAGTTTTTAATTGAATTTTCAAAACGGTTATCGACTCGTATTAGGATCTGTAGAGCAAAATGAAATAACTTCTTAGAACCCTGATGTTAATAACGCTTTGACTGATATCGAATAGCCATCAAAAATCTTTTTAAGTGATGAATATATCTCACCTTCCCCGAGAATCGGTAGCATACTGAACAAGTTTCTTGTCCATTAACTTACTGAGCTCAGATAAGAGTAAATGTGGGTCAGTCTACAAAAATCAGAAAAAACATCGAGAGGAATATAATAATGGGAAAATATTTAACTAATAGCTAGCCAAATCACTTTATACAGACTGAAAAAATTAAAACGCGCTCGTCAGCCACCTGGACAATGAACGAGACCTATTGTGTGACAGCTGATGATACAATCAACCTCGCCTGGTTAACTACTTCACTAGTTACCAGTCGGTCCTAAGCCCGGATAAAGAGGGAAGGTTGGGCATAGGGCTAGCAACCCTGCCCCGTAAAATCAATCCAATAGCAAACAAACTTCAAAACACAAAGAAAATATAGAAAATAAAAATAAACTTATTCCTCGCTAGAATCGGTGAGACGAAATGAAACCCGTTGGTGAAAGCCTCCGGGAAGCCAATTGGCCAATGTGTCTCTTTTATCGCGATGAAAGAGAAAGTAAGAATGGGGACATGGAATGTTCAAACAATGTTTGAACTTAGCAAGGCCGTCCTGATTGCAAAAGAGATGAGGAGGAATGGCATGGAATTGCTTGGAATCTGCGAAAGTAGACGGAATAAAACTGGACTCTCCAAACTGTCAACTGGAGAGTCAATAATCTACTCCGACATCGTCACCCAAATAAAAACGACGAGCATACTAAGTTTTTGAGTGGCTATCATGATGTTCCCAACAACATCGAAGGCTCTCATGCAGAGGGAACCAATCTCCTCCAGCCGCATCATGATCATGACAGCAAGATTCAACTCCAAAGGAAGGAAAGTCACAATCATACAATGCTACTCCATGCACCTACAAATAAGGCAGATGAAGAGAAGAAGGAGGAATTCTACAGACAACTGCAATCAGCACTGGACAAGATCTCAGTTGGCGACATCAAAACTCTAATGGGCTACATGAATGCCGAACTGGGAGGGGACAACACAGGAAGAGAACTAACCATGGGTCGAGAAGCGCTCGGTGAAATGAATGAGAACGGATAACGGTTGGCAGAATTCTGCACATTCAACGATTTGGTGATTGGAGGTGAGGCAGTGTGTTCAAGCACAAGAATATCCACAAAGCGACATGAATTTGATACCACCAGACACCAGGACACACTACACTGAAAATCAGATCGACTTCATCTCAATCTGGAGAAAGTGGAGACGCAGCTCACTGGACACAAGCTCAAGAAGAGGAGCAGATGTAGGTTCACACCACTCAATATCTAGTGCAAGGAACCTACATTCAAAATCAAGTTGAAAAACCTTCGAAGAGGTTGGTGATCACAGAACGCAGCTCAAGTTCAACACCCTGAACACAGACTGAAGGACGAAACTACTAAGGAAATCTTCACGTCAGCCATCAAGACAAATTTGGAGATATCGAGGAACATCCCTGAAGAAATCTGTGTGGATGAACACTGGAAGTCTTTGAAAGAGATGTGGAAAGAAACCTGCATAACCGTATTAGGAAGGAGGAAGAAAGCAGATGAGGAATGGATCTCGACGGACTCATGGAAGCTGGTAGAGTAGGGAGAGGAAGATTGTGAAGCAGAAGATGAACCAGTGCAAGCATGAACAACGAGAAGAGGAACTGAGTACAACGTATTAAACACTACACTGGACAAAGAAGTGAAGAAGAGTGCGTGGAAAGACAAAAGACACTTCTACGACACACTGGCAAGTGAAGCAGAACAGGCTGCTGGTAGGAGAGACAGAGACCTGACCACATTGTATCAAATAACCAGGTTACTATCCGGGAAGAGATCAACTCAGACGAAACCAATGAAAGATAGTGAAGGAAACCTAGTTACCGAAGAGGAGGAACAACATAAACAATGGGCTGACCACTTCAAAAAGCTCTTAAATCGACTACCACTTGCAACTCGTCCAGAAATACCATCAGCAATGGCAGAACTACCAGTGAACACAAGCTCTCTGACAAAAGCAGAAGTCCTGAATGCCATAAAACTGCTGAAATGGGGGAAAGCAGCAGGACCAGATGGAATTCCTCCAGAAGCACTTAAAACACACACAGGGACGACAGCGGACATCCTCATACCACAATTACAGAAGGTTTGGAAGGAGGGAAAGGTACCTGCCCAGTGATTGAAAGAAGGGCGACCTTGTCAAACTTTTAAAGAAGGGAGATGTAAGTCTTTGCAAGAACTGGCGAGGAATCATGCTGCTGTCCACCCCAAACAAAGTACTAAGCCGCATCATCCTGGAGAGACTAAACAATGCGCTGGATTCAAAGTTACGACCAGAACCAATAGTTACGGATTGTATGCACTGATTCCCCGTATTCGTCTGTCTACCCTGAACTCTCTTCCAACCTAATCCAGCTTACCGAAGTATTGCTTGTCGAGGTAGGCAATGGCTCGGTATGCCCATTACGTGTTCAAGCCTTCTCAGTCGATGAAGGTTTATATCCTCTTCGACTAACTTGCCTTATTTATCACCTAACCTCGACATTGCTCACATGGTGACTCCAACACGCGCAAGCAATGCCACAAAGACATCTGTAATTACAGTCCTGTAACCGCTTAATGTCTTCTAGTTTTAGCGGCCGGGTTTTACAGCTACGCAACAGGATAGAACAGACTGCTTGGCAGTCTACTTATTCTTTGATAGATAGTCGGTTGGAGAAAGAAATACTATGAATTCAAAGATTCATAGACTGTTATTCTCCAATTCCATGGGCCTCAGTTAACATTCTCACTCGAATTCCTAAAATGGATGAAATCAGTGCTTTTAATAGCTTAAGTGAAACAGTTTAAAACAGATCCTAGTTAGGCAGATGCATTGGTTTCCCCGTTCTAGAACTATATATCCTAACTGCTGACTTTTCTCTATCCTTAGTTTTATTTTCTCTCTCCATCTTACATTCATTTTCTGTTTCTGTCGTTAAGATGTGTAACATCTTGAATTAATGAATGCATGATTAAGTCAAACAACGATACAATTAGACTAATCTATTCATTTATCTCTGCTAGTGAAACATGTAGGGAAAGCTTAATAATCACTTTTTTATTAAGTCCAAGAGACTTACTGGTTCTTGACTTCGAAGACATGCTGAAAGTTCACACATACTACAACCTTGTGGATTTTTTGAACTTTTGATTACATCTATAATCTTCTTTTGTAAGACGGGATCTTCTGAGACCAGGTGTTGATTGTTCATTATCTGACAGGTAACTTCATGAGTAGTATTGGCGAATTCAATAGAAGTCGGGGGACAGGAATTACCATTGGTAGAAATAGGGTTTGGTTGATTTGAAAGGACTTCTTTTTTGATCTATTATTAGTGTTTTTTTTTTAAAGGATGTACATAAATAGAAAAAAAGTGAAAAGTTACAGAATTGACAAAGTACTTCTAGATGATGAGTATAAATATCAGTTTTCAGAGTCCGAACACATCGACACTTACTCAAGCATAAAGACAATATAATATGGTGCGAAAACAGATTAAACCAAAAAGATCTCAATAAACCATTCTGCTTCTTAAAATAAACTAAAAACTTTATTTTATTTACCTTCAGTCATCAAGGGTTTCGCTCGAACATCATGTGAATTCGTGATGCATTACTAACGCTTGATCGTAATCACACTGGATGTTCAGTCAGGACTTCACATCTCAATCCAAATTTAACTAAATTAGAGAGGAGAGGCATCATATTTATTATCATTTTGACTGAGAAAACCGTGGTTTGGCAGACTTGTACTTTTGATGCTGGATGATGATTGAAGATGAAATGAAAATTTGAACCATGGTCAGATTTGAACCAGCGACCACCAACTGAGCTACGATACCCGACTGCTGACCACATTTCTTTCTCACTTCAATCACCAAGGGCTTTACCCAACTACCATGTGAATTCATGACATATTACTACCTCTTTATGAGGCGAAATTCTTGGTGATTGAAGTGAGAAAAAAATCTGGTCAGTAGTCGGGTATCGTAGCTCAGTTGGGGGTCACTGGTTCGAATTTGTTCACGGCTCAAATTTTCATTTCATCTTCAACCATCACCCAGTATCAATACTAGTCTGCTAAACCACGATTATCTCAGATAGTTAAAATGATAAAACTTTATACAATGTTGACTTCACAATAAGGAAGCAACTTCTTTACAAAGTTAATGGTAGTGATGGCGAGGTGTTTACAATCTAATATTTAAAAAAAATATACGTAACATAAAATCATACTCATTGTCAGCCACGAATCTTCTTTCATTAGACAACCAGAAAAATGTTCAGTGAACGTTATCGTACTGGAGAAATGAAACTATTGGAAGTGTGCACAGAAAACTATCTTTAAAGACAAGTTTTTATGGAGTTTCTGGTGAATAGAACGACAAGAAAATACTGGGAAAATGCAGTCAGCAAACACATCATGTTTTGAGAAAATGAATACCCTGAGAATTTTATCCGGAAGGATAAGGCTATTAGAAGAAAGAAGTTAGCCACCTGTATGTGTAGGAGAAAAACAACTATTTCAGATAAAAGGAAATAATCTGGATGAAATTCCCATGAATAGACTTCAAAGATGACTGGGTAAAACGTCCCTAGGAGCCATTACGAAGATAACCTTCACAATCAGACTTAATACCGTAAAAAAGAAGATTGCTAGCTCCATCCAGTCTCATATGATAGATACCAATCATACTGTTGACATTTAAGCCATTTAGAAGATACTCAACCACTAAAAACAGGCGGTACAAATTCATTGATACTGTGTCATGATTGAAGGTGGAATGGAAATTTAAGTCACAACAGGATATAAACCAGCGGCTTCTATGGTTACCGGTTTGAAGCTCTACCAATTGAGCTACGAGATGTAACTGCTAACCAGCTCTCAATTTGCCTTCGATCACCAAGCGTTTTGACCGGTCATCATTTGAATCTGTGACACGCAACTGGCAGTCTATAATAGTTGCACTGGCTACCCAATTAGGTCTTCTCATCCCAGTTATGATATGTTAATAGTTTACCGTCTTCATCTAATATTTTAGATTGATCATTACATCTTCAACTTCTGTCTTTAAGACAATTAGTTCCTTTTTACGCATGGATTCCTTTATTCTTAATTACCAAAACAATAAAACAAACTGGTATGTACGTTTAGTCGCAAAAACGAACTAAACGTTCATCTTTCATGTTATGATTCGATGTGTAGGCAATCCCATTGTAAGGTAATGTATTTAAAGGTTGAGCTTGATGAGAAATGAGGAGTTACATCAGTCCAACTCAACTCGTTGCTGACGTAATCTCAGCCCCGAGATAGAAAGCCCCTTTGGCATTTGCCAACTTGCGTCATCTGTGGCGCTAACTAGCTAGATATCTGACTTTTTATCAAAGGACAAATATACTGTGCTACAGTCCGCTCTGTCCTGTTGTGCGGCTGTGAGACCCGAACGCTAAAAGTAGAAAATATTAAGCGGTTACAGGGTTTTGATAATTCGTGTCTTCGTAGCACTGGTCGCACTTGATGGAATCACTGTGTGAGCAATGTCGAGGTTAGGTGAAGGGTACCTAGATAAATAAGGCAATTTAGTCGAAGAGGATGTAAACCTTCATCGATTGAGGTGGCTTGAACACGTACTGTGCAACCTGAGCCACCGCCTATACCGATGTGTTACGGGAAATTGGTCTAAGTTGGAGGAGGATTCAGAGTGGCCATACTAAGACGTGATGCTAATCCACGAAGTCTCTAACTCTTGGTGATAGCCGTATGGGGAGGTGTAGACTATATGGTTGGGGTCCTCGAGGTGATATGGCTGGAAATCAATCACAATGAAGCAGATATATTCACTTTTTCATGTCTTCTAAAGCCTGAATGTTTTGGCTAACCTCCACTTTTAAATGCCCTCTCTTCCCATACACTTCTGTTTACTTTTTATATCAATCCCTTTCTAGCCACTTGTTCTTTATATAGTACTGTGAAGTGTGGCAACATGAAATGATGTACTTTTGTGTGAGGTTCTACGTTGGTTTCATTTGTGTGATGAGACTTTAACGCAAATCGACATTTATCTAAATTTTTGTTTTCTACAAATGAAAAAAGGTGTTGTCTTGGGATTGATCTATATGATCTATATAATATGAAATCGATGAGTACGTTTGCCATTTTACTCACCTAAGTAGATAGATGAGTCACTAAGGCCTGGTAATCAACGCTCATCAATAAAGACCAATTACGGTGCTTATGTGTTTAATAAGAGGATAGTTTATTCCGTAGATGACATGAGAAAACAAGATGTGTAATAGTATAGTAGATTTGTATTTAACAACGATCATCCATTAGTGTTTCCCAAGAATTGTTATTTGATTACGGTTGCTTTACATAAATATAAATTACTGACGAAGTCATTGGGACTTATGGTGAAACTTCCATCAATCACTATCAAACGCTGCAGAACACCAATCTACGGTGGTACTGAACGGCAAAACATATGACGGGACGAAGAAATGAGTAATTTTAATGTCAGGTGCATAATTTCACTTAGGAGCTGAACTCGAACTAACTAAAACAGCTGATAAATGTGTTGTGAATGAGTATCTAGTTAATCTATACTACAATCTGTGATAGTATATAGAATGGCAGTGAATTTCAGAGAATCTTGGCAACACGCCAATAATTCATAATGTAACAAGTATTAAGTTTGAAGTGTCAGCTGGAGTTTTTGAATTAAAGCACAGGAATCAATGAGCTAGTGACGTATGACACATACTCTTCATTTCTCAGTTTAAGAATTGAGTATCTGATTATCCAAATCTGGGGGTTACCACTTGTTTCTGCTGATTTTCAACCATTGGATCACAAATTCGAACATCACTCCACCTATCGAGGTTTAGACAAGTTTAGGCGGCTCTCATTGTCTACAGTATAAATGAACTCAAGGTTGATGAGTGAATCTCTCATGATTTCATTAGTTCGATTTTAGTGTTTCTTAACTTCATGTAGATATATTTTTCAGTTCAATCTTATAGATTATTGTGTCCAATTTTATTTCTATTTCAGAATATCAGAATATTTTGTACAAAGAACATAATACTACAAGTGATGCCATAGAATAAAGTATATAAGAACACGAGTCATTGATGGAAATGCTAATTAGCATTGATCAGTAACGTTTCACCCATTCACACTATAATACTTTGTCTCTACATATCATTATACTCTGTCCATCCATATAGTCATTTAGGTATAGCTGTTATAATACATAATAATAGTATTACATTGTGTATACCTATAGGGACGAAGAATGGTTAACAAAAACAAATATCCAATGAGTGAATTTGTTTTGATGGTAGTACAAGAAAACTGTGTTGAATATAAATGTGCATCCATTAAACCCTGTTGTACAAGCTTTTTGGAAATACTTTATCTAAATACCATTTTATAAAATGTAAGTCTAAATATTAACTATAAGAATACCTTGAATATATTTATTATAAGGAAGTGTAATTAAGTGTTTTAAAAAAAACTTCAACTTTCATCTAGTAGATTATAAGTTCGAACACATCTCTCTATGTATTATGATTTAGGAAAACAGGGATTATGAGAATGAATGTAGGTTACCGGTTTATATAATGGCTTATTCTTATACTAAACATGTAAAATAAAAGCATAGTTCAAAAGACAAGTACAAGATCCCGATTGTTTGATTGCTGTACATCGGATAACAGCTGAATGGAAAGATGATAATGGTCACATTATATCATGAATGACCATAAATGCGGAAATATGCTTCATTGACAGGATGATAAAGTGCTCACCATGAGATTTCATAATCTTGCGTTAGACCACGCATAGAGTCATGGTGTATAGGGTTAAATTATCCCAAACTAGTAAGAAACAGTTATTCAATGCTTCGTGGTTTTCAGCTGACCTACGGTTGATACTAACTTGTGATGAAACATCCTCTGAGGTTTAATAACATACCATGGTTCATGAACTCAAACTCCAGCTGTCGAGTTTTCGGTTCGAATCACTGTCGCTTATTTAGATTTGAGATGTCCAGGACTACCTTTACCCATGATACGTTACTATTAGGCCTACGACTTGTAACAGGAAGCTATGTGTTTACTGAAAAGCAAAACTAATATTATTATTATTAGTGGTAGTATTGCAAGTCATCGAGTGGTTTAGTAATCAAACAAACACCACCAAAAAAATGCAGCCCAGCAACTATGCAGAGGTCCAGGAAGTACTCTATGAATCACAGCTTTTTTGTGACAGCCAGTGAAACTATTTTATAGCTAAAATCGTAATAGGCAAAGCAGGTTCATAAGG